AACAGTTTAAGGTCTTCCAATTGGCTGTGGCCTCAAATTGCTTTTCCCAATTTCAGTTGGGTTAAGTTGAAATGGAAAAGAAATGATGTCTTAAATTTAGGGATCAGATGTGAGTGAATATGTCTTTCTTCCAATCACTCCAGAAATGAAATGTTGAACCTTTAAAACACGTCATTACAAATACCAAATATCCTGATATATAGAGGATTTATTTTAAAACAAACTCACAATAAAGTTATGGGCTGATCAAGAAATTGTTTTAGTTTTTGTCTCTTTCACTCTTTATTTATTTGCCTTTCATTTCATTTCTCTGAATATTTATTAGAATGGCATCATTTTATTGATATAAGCAGATATAAGCATTTGATGATCTGGTGAATTCACTGTTCACTGGATAGAAAGATATTTGTTAATTTTGCTGTGCACACATTTGAGGATACCTCAAAACGAAACATTTCAACTACCAAAGGTTGTTTTTTTTTATGCTGAAATTCAATTATGCAGAAGTCTACTGCACTGTGGTAAGTCTCCACCTCCTGACAACAGTGGTATGCATATGGTCTGTGACAGCCATCCGGATCTGGTATAGATTCCAGCAGAGCTGTTTTCACTCTGCACATGCCAAGACTCAATGACACAATACCAGTCCAGAGCCAAATGGCCACTAGGCTTTTGTATTAGTTAAATAAATCCCTCTTTGGAGAGGAATATGTTCCTTTGGACATTGATGCAGTGCAATATCCCGGGGTTTGAATAAAGTGACTCCAAACACACCAATGACTTCCATCTGCTCAGTGTGTTATGCTTGTAAATTCTGCAATTAGATGCATAGTTCATTTCCGCTATCCATCAGTTTATAGCTTGTGAGTTTGGTGGCAAAGACCACCAAGCTGTCAAGTGCTGGCACCAAGTCGAGAACATTTTATCTCTCAGCGCAATGACTCGTGCACTGACAGAGCTGAAGAATTTATTAAGTGTCTGGTAAAGTCACCATGCTGTATGTTTTCACACTTATTTTCAAACTTTCAAAATTGGCTTCCTTTGTGATTAAAGGCTTCAGCATTCTTAAGGATTAGTTTCAAATTTCAAGGAAAGTTTCATCAAGAATAATAAACCTCAGTGAGGGAGCTTGCCAAGAGAATGTCTAAAATCATTGGTAACAGCCTCTTGAGGTATCTTTGGGACAGGGACAAACTCCTGGGCAGAATGAGAGTGACCATGAAGTGGAACTGGGCAGCTTGGCAGCAGCCCCCAGAAAGCAAGATGGCCTCCTGGTTGGAAGCAGGATCTGGTTGATTCAAGGATCATTACAAATAGACCTTAATACATGGATGGAGCTGCAGAGAAAATGGAGAACAGTACAATAATCTCCTCAGCACCTCAGTCAATATAAAAAAAATCTGCCGCCAATAGGAATTTGGTTATTAGCATAATACTTACTCTCCTCCCATTAAGATACACAGATATACAGCACATATAGTCACAGCAAGGGTAGCTATAACTACATGTATTTTACTACCATTTCTTCAAGCTATTTCTTAATCTATCACTCCATTGATCAGCGCAAGAGGGAGGTGCAACTACAGCAGTAGCATCCTACACAAGCCTCTGTCACCACCCGCACCCATGTGTAGCCTCCCATCTGTTTGGCTACTAACAATAGAGATGAGCTAATCAGAAAAAAGATTAAAGAGATGCAAAATACTGTTGCAAAAAACGGGTTTGTCATTGGGCAATTTTGGCTTGAAAATACAACTTTTTAGGTTATGCGACAGAAATATATACATATTCTCTCTCCCTCCTAGCGCTGTTCTCCATCACTCGGCAGGTGAAAACAATGGAAGGCCAAACAATAAGAGGATTATGAAATTCTAACAGGTGGGTAGGTGTCGTTCCAAATCTGAGAGTAATCAGATTTGGTTAAAAGCCATGCAACTAAGCACATGGTAAAGCAACCATATGCACATACATTGTATTTTTTGCCTATTTTGTGCAGTGAAAAATGTTTTTTTATACACAGCACACAGCACTAGGTCTGTAGTCACAAGTGCTTAAGGTTTTTGTCACCACTAGACCCGACCTCATTAAATTAGCGATTAATATATATACTATATACATATATACTGTACTGTATATATGTTATACGTATAGTGCTGAGATCAAAGCATGTCGTGTTTGAATGTTTTTGAAATAATTAATATTTTACCAATTCACCTTTACTGGATAGTGTACATTAGAGACTGCCAGGACAGAGTGAGGGAAATGACATGCAAAGAAGGACAAAAGGACATTGTGGTTCTATGGTACGGTCTTGACACTAGGCCTCCAGGATTTTCCTGGAGCTCTTGTCTACATCTAAACAGGTTTCTGAGTTTGCAGAGCTAAAAACATATTAGCAATGGAAGGTGAAAGCAACAGAAATGAAATCACATCACAGTGCGAACGCAAGTGCTGCAGGTGTTTGTGAAACAGGTAAGTGATCTTTCACACACCTTCCCACTGAGAGAGGTTAGGAGGAAGGACCATTTGTGCCCGCTTCAAATCCCTCAGATGTAGTGGACTGCTATGTCTAAGTCTTCATTTCCCCCACGCCCACACACACACACACACACACACACACACACACACACACAGCAACAACAAGGGCAGCAACTCTCCTTTGGCAGGGACACTAAGCACTGAACAGCTCTGTGCACAGCAGGAGGCTGTGGACACCTGCATACTGTGGAGTGGAGATAGAGACAAATCCAACACTGAAATTGGTGATAGACACTACAACATTTCCTTTTTCTACTCCAAGGATTTTCAGCAATTTGTTTTCAAGGTTTACACTCTGCTTAGGTATGAGGAGTGTGGCATAAAAGAAAAATAAATCAAAGATTTCAGATTGCTGTTGGTGCTAAAACTGATTCACTTTTATGGTACAGGAAGAGAAAATGCTTTTATTATTCCCCAGGCCCTGCAAAGACCTATGCAAAATGTAAACAATGTTTGAGCCTACCTTTGAGCCTTGTTACAAAGGCCAACTACTGTGCAGTGTTCATTAGAGTGGAAATGATATGTGCAAACAAAGAGAGGCGCCCAAGCAGCACACTCTGCTGCGTCTTTTCATCTCAGAATTGCAAATGAATGCATCCTCCTCACCTGGTCCCTGTAGGCAGTGTCCCACTGCCTCCAATCAGTGCTTTATTGACAGTAGGCATCCAGCAGGTAACTGGGAGCACTAATAGTTCAGGATGATGCCTGATAAACACATTCTCCCCTCTAACTGCTCCCCCACATATTTTACTGCATGGCAGCATGGCCTTCAATCAAGGTCAAAATGTGGAGAAGCTTGGCGAACAGAGCTGCTTATGCAAAAAACTGGCACACGGTTTTATTTAAGAGTCAGTTCTGACTCAGTTTGGCTGCTCTCCGTCTGCTTTGTAATTTTAAAAGGCGCATCTTTGTCCACACTGGCGAGTGTTTTGCATGAATATATCAAGAAAGGTACCCAATTCCATACAAATTCCAGATGAAATGTAAAGGATATGAGGAAACAGCATACTCAAATGTTCTGCTCAATAAGCAAATTAACTGTATGTAAAGTAATGTTAAGTCTAGAGCAGCCCTGTCCATGGAGCAGCATTAGACTTCCAGTGCAGTAAATATCTGTGGCCAAACCATTCTGTCTAAATAACAGGGAGGGTGGCACCGTAAACACAGACTTGCTTGGCTTTGTCGAGCTAATGACTTCCTGCTCCAGTGGCTTGTGAAACAGTGTTGGAGCCAAAATAAGTAAAATCGGGAGCAGAATTTAATCTGTCACTCAATGGAAAGCCTTTAAGCAGAAACATGCGGCCACCCAGAGGCACCAGCCAACCAAGGGAAGTGAAATTACAGCAAAAGCTCCCTGGCACAGAGTGAAGCACCAGAACAGGTTGTGTACAGGAATGATGATTACAGATTGGTTGGATAAATAAGGGATCCTTTAAAGCAAAACACTCTGAGTGTGAATGTCAACCAATGTGGAAATCTGAAACCATCAATCCCTTTGAATCTAGGTAAGCTTCACCTATGTAGAATAGAGATTGATGTGGCGACGAAGAAAGCATTTGATCTCGGTTTTTGATCATCCTGAATTTGCCCCAAGCTTGGTTTTGAACCATGTAGCTGTGCAACAGTCATATTAACAACCAGGTACTGCAAGCAATGCTCAGTCTTCCAACGGCTCAGAATTAATCATTTCAATGAATTGTTTGTTTCCTCTGTAGTCTCCTGAGAAAACTCTATGGGTTTGATGAGAAGGCACTCTGGGGTAGATGAGCTAAAATTAATCAAACACGTCCATGACTTGTTTTTCTAAAACTGTCCTGCCTACTTTCTAACCTCCTTTTCTCCAACTGTTTACTGACGGCAGTGAATTTGAAACAAAATTGCACCCAAATTATCCCTCTGTGCAATTACAGCAAGCCAACATTGATTCTGTAAATAAACAGCTGAATTTATTTACTAAAAAAACCCCTACAAAATCATATTACAAGTGGTGATCTGTTCAATAAGAAAAATAGACAAGCCTTTTCAAAAGATATGATGTACAAACTTTTGAAACATTATGTGTAATGCCAGCAACTCCAATTTAGAGGCAATGGAACTTTTTCATTTAACACGTCTATTCTGAATCACTGACATCAAAGTTTCCTGTGTTCCACATTAATATTCATGAGCAAAGCAAAGAAACTGAGAAAATAAGACATGAAATGCAGATTAGCCTCTTCTGAGAAGATATGCAAATAGTAAGCCAGACACTTTTCTTTGTACATGAGCAAACAGTCCACATGCACATATACTGTATATGCTTCTTTATTAACATCTACCTATACATCATTTAAATAGAGTTTAAAATTAATAAGGTCACAATCATGTAAGGATGATATAATAATTCTGTAGGGCCAAATATAGAAATAACCAGCAAGTTTCATGTGTGTCTAGACAGCAATAAATCTCATGAAGCGGACGAATTATAAGAGCAGAACGGCTTTAATGTAAGTGTATATTTGGCAGTATTCTATGTGGTAATACAGAGCAGATAGGTGACTAATGGAGTACAAATAAACAAGTCTGACATGGGACCCTCCCCCCAGAACTTCACAGTCAGCATCAGAATCCTTTTACATCTTAAAATGCACGCAGCCTCAGAGTCACTCATCATCACAATATGAGTTTCAGTGCTGCACATTGGTGATCATGGACAAACAACCTTCAAAATTCTCAATCCCACATTTTCTCAAGTGCAAAAAACAACAGTTGAATGAACATAGTCTTTGGCACCTTAAAATGGGAGGGCCATGTTGTACTGAAAAGGGTGTGATCATTTTACTGCTTAAACATGGCCAAAAAGTCCTTCAGTTCAAGACAATCTGCACTTTACACCTGCCACAAGTAACAAAATGTGCAGCTGGAACATCGAAATGGACTTCATTGTACTGAAATATTGTTCTGCAGGATTCAACATTAAAAGGAGCTTTAATGTATTATATACAGCAGAAACCCAGTATTTGTGCATCTGCAAGGTCTCAAAGGCTCTACGGAAAGCTCTTTTATAATAGCAAACAAATACATTCCCTTTGAATTCCAAGAAATATGACACTAGTGGACAAAAGCTTCACTGAGCCTCACAAGAGCCTAACCAAAAGCATTCTGGCATGCACTCCACTAAAAGATAAGAATAAATCAGGAATATGACATAAACCATATCTTAATAAAATACTTCTCTCACTAGCTTTAAAAAATCTTAATTCATCTGAATACCATGCTCATGTAAAGGCTTTGATTCCACATATAACATCATATAAGTATACTATATATACACTTTTAAATCAGACTTTGCTTTAAATCCATTTCTCAGCATTTCATACATACCTACCACATCTAACAGCTTAGTTTAAATAGAAATGTATTTTCCTCAATGATTTTACTTTGATGTCAGCTATTGTGACATATTATCACTTTGTCCAAATGATGGATATCTCAACTCGGAACAAGAGCCACATGTAAACTTACAGCAAGATAATTAATTGAAAATGGGTTAATTCCCCCCACTGCGCTAGTCCATATTAATGGGGAGGAGATAAGAACAGTCTTAATAGTTGGTCAGACCTTCTTGAAGAAGTGCAGCCAGAGGGTTTATCTAAATCCTCTTGGCAGAGCTATCTGAATAGTCAGAGGAGAGTGCAGAGGAGTGCTTAAATTTGCCTGAAAGACAGTTCTTATAAATAAAGTAGCAGCAGAAAGTTCTTCTGATAGCGCTCAACTTCACTGTTCTGTTTTGACTAACTTATGCAATATCTTGTGTTAAATATGAAAGAAGAAGCACGTATTAACCATAAAAGCAACACAATTTCATGATGTGAATGAGTGCACCATATACCAAACCTAAACTATCTTAAAACAGTGTTCTTTGTGTGCCCCTTCTCTGTTCTTGCCTCTGGAAGCAGCTGGCCTCTCTTGCTGACTGAGAAGTGGTGGTAAAGATGTGGGGAAAGAATATTGTCCCTCCTGTTTGATTGGTGTCACTGAAAGCATGAGGTGACCTGATTTTGGGTTACGATGAGCACTCCGCCAATGTGCCTTCGCTGTCGTCCTGCCTCATTGGCTGCCTGCTGGAGTCTCTGTCCACCTCATCCTCTTCATCAGATCTGCCAAGACCCAGGTGTCTACGGTACACAGGAGGGCTACAGGGGTCAACACACATACAGACACACCATTATATCATTACTTACAGATTTCTACTACTACTTACAGTTTGAACCAAAACTGAAAGTAGTAGAGAAGAAAAAAGGTTGCTGTAAAAATATGGCACGGAAAACCACGAGCAATTTAGGCTGCAACATTACACTCTTCCCCAGGCAGTAAACAACACATCCCCTGAGGTGTGCATAGCATATGTGCACATAGTTATGATGGCTTACTAATTTTCATTTTTAATTAGGCTATAGGAAAAATGCATTAGAAATATTCTTGGTCCATGGCCCTAGATGAAACAGTGTTGGGGGATATTAACCCACAAAAATCATTACCAGAAACTTTTGTCTTTTAAACACCCTACAGTGAAGTTAAAGCCTCAAATATCCGGACAAATATTTACACATTACATGCATGAGCATTGTGACAGTGGCACACTGTTCACATATTAGTAAATTGTACGTGCAGTTAGTAAGGTAAATGTCAGGGGTCATTTGAAACTCGGGCTTTACATTCTTAGATAATGTTACCATGACAACACAAATCACTCAAAGCATTACTTGAATGGCAACTTAATTCACTGTAGAGATTTCATGCATCCAGCTCACTATAAGCACTACTCTTTAATACACACCAAGGACTAGAATTAAATAGCAAGTGAAAAATATCGTTTTAGCTCAATGACTCTATGCACACACTATGTTTTATAAAGTGTTAGAGATTTGATAAAGGCTTCCGGCCTTTTCATATACACTGCAACATTTCATCCATTTGGAAGACTATGATAGCTCCCATTTGGTGTTGCAAAATGTGTAAGTTAGTCATGACACGAGCTAAACATTACAGGGGACCTACTAATGTTGACATCAAAATGTACAACCCCCTGCAACTGTAAAAAAGTGAGAAATAGGTGCTGCAGTTAAGTTAAAAGTTAAAAGTTACGTTTTACTTTAAGTTTAAATTACTTGGATTCTGGGTGTTCCAACAAAGTGATGTAAATGTTGCAGAAAACCAGTAACCAGCTAAAAAAATCAAGATGGCATGTGAGCAACACATACAAAAAAATATGTACTTCACTAATTTCAGGTCACTGAATAGCATGACGTATCCCATAGTGAGACATCAAGACGAGCTATGAACAAGAAAATGTCCTAATATTTAATTACAGGCTTGATTATCTATGGTGAAAGTGAATCTTTGTTAAAAGGAAGTGTTGTAATCAATTTTGGGGTTTAGCTGTTGCCTTTAACTGTGTACTAGAGAGCAGCACTCTTGGCAAACTGTTAGCGTGGAAGCTCTACAGTGGTGTTACCGATGAAATTCTGGATACATTCAAGAGAAACAGTGACTCCAAACTACAACAGTGTAATTGAGTACTATTATGAAAACAGCTATGTGTCAGTGTCATCTTCAGTCCACTCAACCTGGCTTAATTCACCCAACAGTGAATAACCCAAGAGCCAGTTTTCAAATAGAGAGGCTAAAATGTTCAAGGACAACTGAACAAAAAATAAGAGCCAGTTTTCAACCAGAGAGGCTAACATGTTCAAGGACAATTGAAAGAAAATAAGAGCCAGTTATCAACTAGAGAGGCATGTTCAAGGACAACTGAACAAAAAATTTAAAAAAAAAATTTTCAAGCACGCAGTCTTTCATTTTTTTTAAAAATCACACAAGAGGCAGAGATGCTCAAATTGTCAGTAAAATTACTCTTCAAATAGATAGGCTTTTGAAGTTTAGAGCCAATCTTAGCATTTTAATTATGATGCAAAGTATTCACATCAAGCAATATCAACAGTCATGTCACACCTCTTTAAACTCTTCTCAGCTAACATGTTCAAGCAAAAAACGGAGTAATTTAGTTTTGCCTCATTGCCAGCACCGCTCTCTTAACACTATGTCCTCATAACAGCATATACAACATTAGGGTAAAATGCTCACATTTGCAGAGATGCAATCCATCTTTGCAAAATAGAATTAGGAAAGTAACACTGCTTTACAGCACTGGTATGTCTGATGACTGTATTTCAGTGCGCTGCTTCTGATGGTTGGGAGTGGGACAAATACATAAATAGAAATAAAGAAAAGTAACCTTCAATGAATTGCAATGTTGGATTACAGTATACCTCTCAATAAAACTTATCTGTGGCTGTTTATAATGGCATTTAGAAACAAAACTGAAGTGACTGGAATGTTTCAGTAATGCAACCTAGAAGAATAGTTACATGCAGTAATGCTGGCAGGAGCAAAGAGAAACGGTGGCCTTCACTGGCCAACATGACTTTTGAGGGCAGATCTAGAACAATACAAGCCAGCATTATTGTATCACGAGGTTTATGCTCAGATTCAGAATTAATGCAAAACATGCACACACAGCACACTACGTTAGTACATTAAGTGAAAGTTCCCAAATCAGTTTCAGTTATGCCAGACTCCAGGGTTATTATCACACCAAGCTTCACCTTCCAACGTTGGTATCAGTCACTGTCAGGCCTGTAGAGGTACTTCATCACCAAGTTATCCATCTTCTTCTGCTTCTTCTTGGTTTCCTTCTTGCCAGATGGCCCATGACCTTCAGGCTCCTTCTCATCATGATCAGACAGTTGTTTTGGGCCCCTTTTAACACTGCTGGAGCTGCGGTAGGAGATGGTTGAGTCGGAGGAAGACGACTCAGACGACTTTGAGGAGGAAGAGGAATCCTCTGACTCACTTTGCTTCTTCTTAGATCTCTTCTTAGACTTCTTGCCCTTCTTCCTCCTTGAGCTCCTTCTGCTGTGATGGCCATCTGAGGAGGAGTCGTCAGACAGAGAGGCTTTACTTTTTTTATCTTTATGACTGCGGGAGCTGCTGGTACCCAGAGTGCTGGATGGACGATTGCCGTAGTCCAGAGCAGAGCCTGATGCAGAGCGAAGCAGGCTGGATGTGCTGCAGCCAAGCCCGTCGTCCTGACCCTTCTTCCTACTGGCCTCATTTCCTGGCCCCTTCTTCTCATCCTCTTCCTCACCACTAGACTCATCAAGTTTGCTGCGCTTGAATTTAATGGGTTTGAAGCTCAACACCTCATTGATGGCAGCCTCCAAGTCAGGGTCCAAGTAGTTGCGGTGGGTGACTGACTTAATGTCAGATGTATCTGCCAGATTGCCGTCTGAGGAGCGTGGTTGAGCCGGGGTAGAAAAGCTGCGACTGTGGGAGCGGGGACTGTAAGATGAAGTTCTTCCTTCACTAAAAGCCACACTCTGGCCATCATCATCATCATCGTCATCTACATGCAGGCCGAATTCACTCAGGCCACAGCTGCGGGCAAGGGACATGCGTGAGCTACTGCGTCTGTCGTCTTTCCAAGAGGTGCTGCGATGTAGTGATCGGGGGCTGGAGCGGCTCACGCTGCTGATAGTCGACTTATTGTCATCATCCATGTCCAAAATGCCCCTCCTGGTGGACATTCTGCTGGGAGCCACAGAGGACACCATGGAGTCCTTATCGAATTCAGGGCTGCTGTGGGAGGTCCAGCGGGACTCCAAGCCCTTCCTGGCTCTGCTGGTGGCTTCAGAATAGGCCAGGGAGATAACAGAGCCTTTGTCCTCTAAGTCTTCCTGTGCCTGGCTCTTCTTCCATTCCTCCTGGAGGTCTCCAGACTTAGACTTGGCTTTGCGAATGGAGGCATGGTCTGGTGTGTCAGGCTGTTCTTTGAGAGTGCTAAACAGGGAGCTCTCATCGCCTGTCCCTCCTATGGAGTCTTTCAAGTTGGAACGCTTCCTGTAGCTTAAGGAGCTCATGACAGACACTGATCTGTTCTGCTCTACCTCTTTCCCGTCTTTACTTCCGTCATTCACCTTCTCCTTACCTTCTTTCAGCTCTTTGGCATCTGCATTTGCTGAATATCTAAAGGGTTATGTAATAAAACCGAGACCAGAGACAATCAACAGAGCACAAAAAGAAAAAATCTGAAACTCTGCATATTTAAAGTACAATCTCTAACCTTCAATTGTATGCTACATGCATAATATTAAACCTAACCTGATATGTAGTAACTGAGACTAAGACTAGATTTTGTATTTTCAATGTCAGACTGTTCCAGAATACATTTTTTCATTTTGTCCTCGGGACCAGTCAAGAGTCAGGGAACATAATACCTCTGACTATTGCCGTTATGTACAGAATACACTGTAGAAAGTGAGGCAATCAACCAGTGAGACGATCTATTTAACAGTGGCAGAGGCGTCATTTAGCAGGCGTGCCAACTGGCCATGGGCCACAATTTGACAGCAGCCGCTTCCCCATTACGCCTGCTGTCATTAGACAGATTACTAGGAGAGAGCGATGACACCTAATCACATGAAATACCCATCCTTCTGTTACAAACTGCCCCAGGTAATCCGGGGCCTTTTGAAGGCTGGGGATGTGGGTAGTTTCATCATTACTTTACGTTACCACAGGGATGTACATGGTTATCTGTCATGATGCAAAAGGATATGAGCACTAACCTGGTGCTCTTCAGACTTCCCTCATCTGACAGAGTCTTGGTGGAGCCTTTGTTCTTCGAGATCCAGGACTTAACTCCATCCACACGGTCCTCCACCTCTGAGTCTGTTTCTGTCTCATCCCCACTATGGATAAACAAAATCAAGTTTGTGAGGGGCATCTGAGACTCCAACACAGCACAGCAAAAATATTCTTCTTAACAAGTCATTTTTTTACATATTTAACTTAAAATATTTAAATCAAGTGAGATAATTCCCCTTGGTTTTAATACAAATCAACTTCTTTTAAAAAATTTCCTAAATCCTCACTCAGGGTCTTGATACTTTAACAAAACACTGCCTTAATCTGCCTTGTGTGACAATTCAGAATCAATTTAGACAGATTTTCAGACAAGAAATTTGACTAAATGACTTGTTATGTGAATATTACATGCAATGTAACATAACAGGAATTACACAGGCAAAATAATGGCTAGTTTTGTTTGTAATTTCCCCAGTTGTATTAATTCTCTTATAATCATAGGGGTCAGTATGATGCAAGACAATCCACACATGCAACAAATAAGTATGATTATGTGATAGAGCAGATGTATTAGAGAGAAGCAATTGCATCATCTCATAGCAGAACATACTGTCGATGGAGCTGTTGGAGGCATAATTAACTTGTTTGACTGGTTCTAAAATGCTAGCATCTGTGTGGCGTGTCTCCTGCTCCTGGTGATTGTTATTGGAGTGGAGCCATGAGACAGCCCCGTGGCCTTATGCTCGACATAACAATCAATATACAGAGCCCTGTGGATTCCTATGAAAAAGCTTGGTAGATCCCACCTGGATACGGTCAATCCTCATTCATTACAAATCCATGGTGAATTTTCTGAATGATGCATCCCATTCCATCCCAGAAGGTTAATGTGACAGGAAAGGGTGAGGAGGAGGAGAGCAGAGTGGCATAACCTCTAACTCAATGCTGCTATCATGGTCAAAATGTGATTAGGGAATGCATTACGAGAGGAATCTGTTTGTCTGATGACACGCTGCTTCCAGCATCAATGCTAGATACACTGTCTTCCTTTGGCTAGATGATGTGTGAAAATAAATTTTTACATTTCATGGAGGCAGCTTTAAAATTGCATAGAGATGCATATGTTCTGACAGCCTAAACTACACTTGACATGTTTGCTGTGGTAAGCTGTGTCAGAGAAAATTAAATTTTCCATATATAGTTTTTTGGTTTCAGAACAGGACAACATACTGTATAATAAACTGTAGCAGGGCAAGCATCGGCAACGACGACAGGGTTGTTGTAGAAGAACTGCAATTTTCAGTGCCTCTTGATTTATAGCAGGCTTTGCGTTTCATCTTACCTTTTATTTATAGCCTTACCTACAGTAACTTTCAATGGGCCATGGATCATCAATCTAAAATATGTGCTTTGTTTATCACTGAGTTCATCCCATGCCAAAAGACAGCTCACTACCATTACATATTAGAAACACTGATTTAATTTTTGGACAAGCTTATCTGTCTGAGCCTTGGAACATGTTGCAAAAATGCATTTAAAGAGCACACACACAATATTCAAAGAGGTGTGAGATGACAGCCAGACTGCTGAGCTCTATCATTTGTCTACATACCACATATCCATCTATGTAGGTGTCCCAGTGACCAGTGGACCATTTCCTTTGTCATTGAGCTTTGTATCTCACATTCGGCCATGTTTCTTCAGAGAACAAAGTGTATTCTTTCCTCCCTTCTTTTTTTTTTGGTGGTCTGCCAAAAAGCCTTTTTTTGGTGCTGATGGTGGGTGACTATTGTGAGGGCGTGAGGAGAAAGAAGCCTCATATTCTTGGACTGAATGGTATTCAGGCTTTCAAGCTTTCTACGAGCATTAACATATTTAACTTTCTCATCATCAACCTTACAGCCAGGCTTTCTAGAGGGAAGGTAATGATGATCCCAGAGAGACTAAATGGCCTGATTATCCTACTTTTCTACAGGAAAACCTGTTCATTTCAGAGTGTGAGAGGTGCTTCATGAGGCGGCAAGCGAAAATTGTGAGTCCAAGTTCAGCTATTATATGCCATTCCTTTATTTTCCACTCCCTCTCTTCCCTACTGCATGCTAAATGCCACCCAAAAAAAGATAATAGCTTCATTAATACTAGAAAGTTGATTACACATGCTGCCCATTTGTCATCTCTGTGATACTTTGACTCTTTAACATGATATATTACACAACAAAATACTGAAACCAGCCCACAGCAAAATCATCTCCCTCTTCCCCCTCTCTCTAACACACACACACACACAAACGCGTACAAAATAGAAGGTGGCTTGCAATTGAGTGCTGTGCAAATGGTGTCACAAACGATTTGTCCTTGGCCCCACACTACTAGCTAACCAGTCCTGAGGCTCATAGATACAAACAAGCCCCAAGAATTTAAAAGTGAACATTAATAGCTTCTGACAATTGGACTGCACTGGTTGTAAATCTTTGTCACAAATACTTACACTCAGCATCAAATCTCGTATGGCTTTGGTTCAATCAGTTTAGCACTTGTGGTACCACCGCTATATTTTTATGGTATCTGTTCAACATGAGCTAATTAAATGTTTACATAGTTTGAACTACTTGAAAAACCCTAATTTAACTTATTATTACTTATTCTCTTATTACAACAATACTAATAAAGCTATTGTAACCTCTGTTTTGAAGCAATGACTCCAAAACTGTTGAATAGTAATGTAAATCATCTGGAAAATCCACTTCATAATTAGAAGAAAAATCACCACCTCCATTATTGTTCATCCATGCTGCTAATGCAATGATGTCAAGGGGAGGGAAAAATGCAATTAAATAAACATGGAAAATCATTGCTCTTTTCCTTGAGTTGCACAAACAGAAAAGCAGAGCACTGATACACACGGGTTGTCTGATGAGAAATGGATAACAAAAAGAAATAGAAAGCGTGATGCCATGTCTCTTTGAAGAAGCACTCAGAAATCGGGACATTATGGACGGGTATATCCTCCACAAACTGAAGACGAAATTTCCTTAATATGCTCTGATGAAGGTTTAAATTTTTTAACATGCCACAAAAATTCCTTTCAGAGTATAACAACTGAAAGAAAATGGGATTCAGTCACAATCAGTGACTACACAATTAAAAACAAGACAAGATTAACATTTGTATTAAAAGTTAAATGTTTCACAACACAATGAAATGAGTTTGGATTAGTGCAGTATTAGTGGAGCATGCGTGGAAATCAACAGCTGTGCTTTGGGTTAAAACACTGTGACTTTAGGTTTCTTTAAGAAAAACTGGAAAATAAATTGTTAATATTAACTGTTAAGTTCTTTCTATTCAGTTCTATTATTGAAAAAGCATACAGCATATCCAAATTTTGAAGAATATAATCCAAACTTATTCCATTTTGTTTTCAGGCTGTACTATAATGATTTCAGCATTGGGAGTAAGTCACAGATATATCTCAGTCTCTATTCTTCTACCAAAGGAAGAACCATAAATGACTATAATATGGGAGGTAATACTAAGATGAAAAGATCAAAACAATTAGTAAATTAATTCATCTTATTTAAGAGAGTTCTTCCAAACTTTCAAACAACTAATAATGGAAATGTGCTTGTATATAATATTTTTGATTTCACATAGGCATATCATAAAATGAAAATAATCTGTAGGTTATTCCCCTTAAAAACTCAGTGAGGTATGGACTTGTTGCATGTACTTTGGAAAAGCCACAGAAGAATAGAAGACAAGTACAAATCAGTCGAGTTCAGTGCAAAACAGCTTTAAAGCTAGATCCAAACAAATGCATGATGAAGCTGTTAGCAAAAAATCCATAGAGACAATGATGCAGTATTACCGCAGGTCCATATACTCCAAGGCAGTGAGACTGGCTTAAAGGAGAATGCCGGTGTCATTTAGAGCTGTAGTCTATTTACCATTCTAGTTTACATTTCCTCTAACATTGTGCAAAGTATCCTTTGTGCCATCACATTTTTCAAATACCTTCATGTTGCTCTGAAGGTAGAAAAACAAGCCCTGAAATCTCCACCGAGGCCGACTGTGTACAGACACCTCCAGACACTTGGCACAAAATAAAATGAAACAAAATGAGAAACTGGGGCCGTCCTTTAGCTTTTATCTGAGATGTATAACACATACACAGCTTTCCATTCCATTTAAAATGACTTCTCCTCGCAGTGTTATTGCAAACAGCACAAACTGAAAGGATAAGGAATACTGCATTATTCTCTCTTGTGGTTGAAATGGGCGAGAAGGAAAAAAAAACTCGAAAACAACCATGATGACAGAAACAAAGGATGCATTTTCCATTCTCACGTTTTGTTCTTTCTTTTCTGATATTTTGTCACCATGTCTTGCAAACTGCCAGAAGTGTGGAACACACCAAATGTGGAACAAGGAAAAAAGAGAAACAGAACAAGGTGAGACACACAAACAGTGCGAAAAGAGGACAAAACTAAATAACAGCAAAAAACTGTTTTACACTTACACGCGGACATAAAATAACTATCTATTGTAAAGCAGTGACTCGGTAAATCAACTCATGCTGTAGCTAGCCTCCTTCTCAAACAGAGAAGTGTGTGTAATGTCTTCCTTTTTAGAGGTCTGTATTATTGCAGTCGGTGTTTACCTCAGTGGGCTCAGAGCTAGCATAACCCTCAACCCCACTGCAAAGAGGGAAGGAGTAACCAAACAGGGAAAACCAGCACCGAGACGAAAGATCAGAAGCAGTGAGCTGAATTAAACCATGTGAGAAGTATTTGGAGAAAGTGTAGTATGACTCACACAGCACAATAGATGTTGAGAAATTGATGTAGGATTATATGGAACATAGAGAATTAAAAGATACAAGTTGTGACTGACAGGCTACTAAACTAAAACTAGCAGTTCTAATTTGGTAAATTTCTTGCAGTTTGCAAAAATTACTTGTAGTCAGGCCTCCACCTACAGTACAATATCCCCTGATGCACCAAGAACACATTAAATTAAAGCCAAAGGAAATTCCTTTGTAGAAGATTAACCCTGTACTGTACCTATTGATTAAGTCATCGTTGTCGTCACTCTCCATCTCATCCTCTATGGCAGCCTGCAGGTCACCTATCCTCTTGAAGGCCAGCTTAAGGTCCACTTGTAGGCTCTGATTTGCCGCCTCTAAGCTCTCGATGTCCATTTCCTGGCGATTGGAACACAGCACAGGAGAAGCACATTTAGCATCTCTAAAGTCATCTCCAGGGAATAGTATCAAGTCTCTGAGAACCCAAAGCCTCACCAGTTCATGCTTCTTCCGGCTCGCCTCAGCCTCCTTCTTGGACAACTCTGCCGTTTCTTCTTTCATGTCCCTGATCTGCCTCTGCATTCGCTTATTCTGGTCCTTCTCCCTGTTTTCTGCAGCAACGCGTTGGTTTCTCTCCTCTGTCATCTTTTCGAGGTTCTCCTTCAGGCGACCCACCAGGCTCTGGGGAGGATTCGACGTCAACTGAGTGAACTTAGGAAGGCCACATGTGGACAAGTGAACAAATCTTAAAATAAAATGAACTGTTTTGTATTTGCCTTTAAATGTTTGTCCCTAGCCCAAGATAGTTGAGCTCTGTTTTCTTTTAACATTGATGACAATGGCATTAAAATTTGAACAGTAAGTGGTCCATTTCTTTGTGTTTAAGTCAATTATGTGCAAGGTGGCTGAGTATCTAACAAGGATATTCTGCAGATATACTGTAACATATGAAAATATTAGAGATGTAACCGTTGCCTGATATCATAGCATTCAAGCTGCAAGTAAAAGTGTGAACCATCGATAGCCCTCGTGCATTTTCCTATTGTTATCCTAAACCTGTCTTACTTTTTCCGTGAGGCTTGCTCATACCAGTATTACAGGTCAGATTCACTAAACTCTTAACTGGAAAAACTTCATCAGAAGGTGCAACTTCGTCAGATTTTATCATTAATAATTGATTGCATAATTGACGCCCTCAAAATTGCCATATAAGGCTTCCTGTTCCCCTCTATGTGTGGGTGAGTAAGGTATTAGAGGACCTAAAACAGTTAGAAAGTAGCTGACAGTTTGCTGTCAACGTGTCATCAGAGCAGCGCTGTACTGTAAAGAGGGAATGGTTTAGGCTACATAAAGATAGATGCTAAAAAAACATCTTTCAAAACCAAAGGAGTCCATGACTTATATGAGAGGCAGTAAAGGGGATATGTCAGTCACATAGACATTAGTCGGAATGTTATTATAGACTACAGTAGGTGATGTTACACTGTCAGTGCACCAGAGGAAGATGCTGGACAGGTACCTGCATAAAGACCCTGAGGAAGCTGTCAGAGTGAATCTACTGAACTGTAGAAGCTGCTGGGCCAAAAAATGTCAATAAAAATCCTAAAATAAGATACAACTCAGTCAATTGGCAGCCATGACGATATGGTGAACAGAATAATAATTTTGCACTAAGATTGTCCTAGTTCTATATTTTATTTTAGTTAATTTTAGTGTCATAATTCCTAATTGAAACTCTAAATTTGTTCAGATCAGGTCAAGTGAAGGTTTAACTATGCAAGGGACTCCATCCCCTCACTTTATAACATCTCTTCAGTTTGATAAATAGAAAGTGACAATGTCAAATTTGCAGTTATAGGTTCAAAAGCATGTCTGTTACATTTACGAGACACACAGACTTCACCTCCAAGCGTTTGATCTGTGTCCTCTCATACTCCAGTTTGGTCTCTAGCTCACGGATCTTGGCCTCCTGACGGCACACGAGTGACTTTTCCACCATGGACTGTTCTTGGAACTCTAGCTGGCTCTGCAGCGAATGAAGCTGGAGGAGGGAAACACACATACATACATGTAAACACACACAATCACTCCCTGAGGAGGAGCGGTGCTCACTGCACATCTCTTTCTTAACCTCTGCTTTTCCACTTCCTCTTAAGCGAGGACTATCAAACTTAAGAGGACGTGCTGGTGTTATTGTGTATGGGAGGTATTAAAACTAAATTAATGTACACTTTTTCACCCTTTTGTGTGAATTTAATCCCTTATGGTACGTGTAAATATTGTGCATCCAGTCTGAATAATGAGTTGTAGATAAGCCCCCAATCTACTATAGATGGTCAAATGAAGAGTTTGTGGTTCAGGCTGAGTAACACAGAGTCACGGTAATTTCACAGGCTTTGGGAAAGAGCTGAGCTTCATGCAAAGCAAGTTTGTTCCATCTGAATGGTTTTTTCATGACTGATAAAAGGAAGAAAGATTCGTCACAAAAAAACGGCCCAAAGGGCGGCATGGCACCTAATGAGGGACTTTGCATCTGAGACAAGGAGGATTTGGAGCTCTCCTTTGATATTACTAAAGAAGCCAGACTTCCCTCCTACTGGGGATGAGATAACCACTTCAAGGTCAGATGCTTTAGACGGCTATCACTGCCTTCTCTGGAGAGTTTTAACAATGCCTTACAACCAGCACTATATCTCTAGTGTAGTCAAAAATATTCTGATGGATGGGCCTTACATATAATTGCGTGGACCAAAGCTTTGGCACGTGTATAGCTTAATCTACTAGAAATATTCTAATAGAAAGATCTGCTGTTAGACGGGGGCAAGAGCTCAGTTCTGTCCTTCAGTGAAACTATATTTGAAACCCATTCTGTTCCAGGCAGATGGTATTATTTGTTTAGTTGACTGCATATCAACACTTAAAGGAAGACACTCTCCGGAGGTCCAGTTACTATGAGCCTAGGCATGTAATGTGCATGCACACACACACACACAAAAACATTGCCATATACTAGCTAAATTCATCTTTAATTGCCCAGAGGGAATTCATTTTGCAAATAGATCAACAAAGAAAATGGCTATGCATTAATGCATGTTAGAGGTTATCCTAAACAGATAGTGCTCCATCAGAAAAACACTGTTATTATAAAAGCACTATTATCAGCGTAGTCCAAATCAGGAGCATTAACCTTTTTACCACATGAATTGATATTTTTGCACAGCCTCAATCATTTAGCTGACAACTCAAGCACAGTATGCAATTATGAAACCTATCAGCCCAGAAATAGGCTAAATCAGATGAGTATACTGTAGCTCTAGGTTTCTGATTTTATACAATGCAAATACAAATCTGCTAAACAGTGAACTGCAAGGTAGTTGCACAATGTACTAATGCCAGCATGCTAACATGCTGAAAATGATAATGCTAACAGGCAGGTATGTTTTCATTTAGTTTAGCATGTTAGCGTGCTAAAATTCGCAAATTAGCGCTAAACACACAAATTCAAATTAAATTCACACAATGTCAAGCATAATACATTACAGAAAACTACTGTATATCCAGAGTTTAAAGTTGAGCTGAAAGATAAAGTAATCTCAAAACCATATCTTTATAAAACATTTCCTTATTATAAAATGTAGCCAGTTACGCAGATTATTAGTAATTTTTAACAACTACGTGTGAAATTTAGGGGATCCATGGATGGATTGGTAAGCCTGCAAAAGGTGTCCCACATAATATCAGCTCTTCGTACGCAGAAAAACTCAAAAAAGTTCTCCTCTCATTTGTGAGTGGTAATACATATTAAAAGCACATTTCTACAGCCATTACTCATGCCAGAGTTTAAGAACTTCAGCATTTTGAAAACATAAAAGATAGACTTAAAAGACTTAAAGGACAGTTACACACTCTGCATGAACACAGCATGATGACTCCATATGGGCACTGTAAAGGGTTTTTGCAACAGGAGAGTCTGATAACAGCAAAAGTAAAATAGACTATAGGAAAATAGCTTTTAACCATGAGTTATACACAAGAGTCGATATTTTAATGTGGGATATGCTTCTGTCATCTGTGACTGTTTGTAAAATTAAATGAGCATTAAATGTGCATTAAAATGCAATTGTTTAATCTATAAATGTGTTTAAAATGTTCACGTGGGTAGATCATTGTACACAAATGGCGCACAAATGCCCATGAATGGCAAAGGCCCACACGTCTCTACATGGTGGTGTTGTGGGCGCATGTAAGTCAGCACAGCACCTAGCAAATACAAAAGTCTGTTGTGAGGGCCTTTTTCAAGTGTTAGAGTAAAATGGCACTTTCACATTTTTCTAATTGATTGGAATAATCATATGAATCATGTATAAAATAGCCAGTGTACAGCAACAAGGTATTGCTTTAATTGCCAATAAATTAAATTATATTACATAAATAGTTATCTCTTGAACAAAGAAATTACATCACCTGGCATTGTTTTCATTCTTGTTTTCCAATTGCCACCTTTTCATTTCCCTATATATTATATAATCAAATGATGCACTGGCATTGGAATAACCACAATTGATCAGTTTGAGAAATAATCACTGGAAGGAACAGAATGAGTGCTTTAATTGGATCTAATTGGTTAAACCACAGAAACAAGCTGCTGAGTTTATACATGACCCTTCCTTTAAATGTGACTGCTGATACTCTTTTACTAGAACTAGAGGCAAAAGAGCAATTTCTCTCCTTGACTCTAAATCTTCACTGATGCGATTTAAATGCAAATTGTATTGCAATTTTCAGAAGAAAGCTGCCACGACAGTGACGCATTTTTTGGTCACAATAATCAGAGAAAGTCTGTGAAAAGTTGGGGTCTAATCAGAGAGGAGGGTTGAGGCAGGATGCAGGTTTCTGGCAGGCGGCTATAGTGCTTTTGAATACTTCCTTGTACCTTTTCTTGGATCTCCTGTTTCTCCTTTGTGGCTTCTTCCAGCTGGGCCTGTAGGTCACTGATCTGGCTCAAGTCCCTGGTAGACTAGCACACACATACAGACACACAAAGTCAATAATCAAACAATTTGGGTATATGTAAAAACGTGAGACATAGCGAGCGAGAGAGGAAGTGAGAGTGTCGATGTATGCTTCAATTAGCTGTAAAAAAAATTATATACATCTTTTAATTTAAATGGGTAATGAACATAACACGTCCTTGCCAAATAATTTGTCATGTGATCTACTGTAGAACAGATTGCATCTCCCTGATTGCAGAGCACACACTGTGTTTAGAGGGGAATATGTCCTCTAAACCTCAAAGCCGCTCTGCTTAAACACGCAGAAAAGGAGAGCGTTAATGTCAGTGTTAAAGATGGCATTGCACAATGTACGATTAAACAAATCCAAATAATCTAAGGCATTACACTATTTTGGTGGTATGTGTCGCAATCCATTTCACCAAGGTGTTAGACAGTTTGGGTTACCTGTGCCACTGCAGCTTTGTGTTTCTTCATCAGCTCATTCATGTCCTCCTGATCCTCCTCCATACGAGACTGTAGGTCATTCTTCTCTCTCTGCAGACGGCTGATCTGCTCCTCCAACTGAAAGACAAAAAGAAAAGGAAACACATGCACTTTAGTATAGAATGACTATTATTCATGAGCTATTGAATATGATAAATGGTCATTAGCAGGCCTGGCCGTGGCAGTCCTGGAATCTCATCTAATGGCAATGAAACACAATCTGGACGGGGTTCTGGCTGGAGGATGAGACCAATTGGAGATAATCAATTGGCTCATTTAGGCAGGGAAAAGTGCAGCCAGTGCAGCATACTGGTGATGTCCTATTTAGAGTTCATCCTCTGTGTTCAGGGGGGAGACTCAGGCCCTCAATATGCATTCTCTAATCTGAGACATTTACAAGACCTTCCCCTGCCATAAACGCAGCAATTAACAAGCAAAGCACAGGCACATAGCACTCTGTGTGTCATCCCCAGAGACACAAACATCCCCAGTCTACGAGTCTGAAATGCAGGCGGTACTCTCATGAGACAGCCATTAATGAGCAGATGGAGAGAAAAAAAAAAGTTCAACAAAGCTTATTTATCCATTAGAGCAAAATGTTGAAATCAGATATATGCCAAAGGGCATTTATTATTTTAATATCCCACCATGGCATGATGATGTATGCATATTAATGTTAGCGCCAGCTACATTTTGAAGAGCCCTCCATTATAATTAAACATTGTTTGTTGTTTTTGATTTAATGAGCAAAATGTACAGACAACTTCCCTTTTATCTATTTCTGCATTGTGATATGAAAAAAAGTGTAGGTATATTTCATTATCTATAATTGTGTGATATTATCAACAATTATAAACAATTTATTATGAACATTTATTATGAACACAAAAACTTATTGTGTTAGAAACATATGCAGAACTGATTGGCATGCAAGCCCGCTTACGTTAATAAAAACAATCAGTGGTTTCACTCTACATCAGGACACTCAAAACTCACCGATATCTTAGCTTTGACCACGTCCTCCATCTGGATATGCAAATCCTCTATTTCAATCTCCATGCTCTTTCGAGCCTTCACTGCTGCAGCGCAAGTGAACTCTGACTCCTCCAGCTGTGTGAAATAGGAGGAAGGCAAAGGAGGAGACAAGGGAGAAACATTAGCAGGCCAAGATCTAGGATCTATCCTGGATAGGCAGAGGAATATTGATTTATCAAAAGTTGTGCTTTTTGTTGTATCAGTTAAGTATATACACAGTTTCAATCCATTATCTGCAGAGACACACCAAAGTGTTTGATAAGAGTGACATACTTGATTTTTGAGCTGGGCGATCTCCCGCTTGCTGGGGGCATTACTCTTCAGGTGGTCCAGCATAATCTGTGCATCAGCCAGAAGGACTTTGGTTCTCTTCAAGTCTTTCTTCAGCTTCTTCTCTGTCTCGACATCCCTCTGACTCACCTGAAAACACACCTTTTTAGCCAGTATTGTCACAAATAATTTTTCTATCCTCCTTCAAAACCTATAGCACCTCTCAAGACTCAATAGAAGTTCCTTTCCAATCAGCAGAAGTGGCACACACTTAACTGCACTGACAGAGACTAGAGGCAGAGTGATGGAAGTACCTGGTCCTGTGCGTTTAGTAGTTTGGACTCCAGCTCTCTTCTCTCACGCAACACTTTCTGCTTGTCTTCATACTCCTCCTCCAGCTGTACCTCCATCTGTTTCAGCTGCAGGACACATGAACAGAGCGTCAGGAGGCACGAACAGATGATCAGTGATAAACAAAATCAGACATAACACAGCATCGACCATCCTGTTAGACATGCTGCTCTCACGCGTCAAAGACAAAGGGATCCCCCTTGGGCAGATCTAGATCCATCAACCTAACTTTGAATTCATTTTTCATTTTTATACAGATACAAATGCAAAGACTATTCTATCATCAATTGAATTTATTTTGTTATTAATATGCATGTACTGTGTTGGGTAGATGTAAGATTTTTAGCTGATGTTGTAATGTTGTGGTCCCTTATGGTGTCTGTTAGGCAGCCTCTGCAGTGTATAGTCCATATGACAAAATTATTATTTAAACTTTTATCTGATGAATATAATATATTTGTATACCACATGGACAACATTCTGAAAACTAAAATGAACTTGAAATAATCTATTCAAGAATTTAATAAGCTGAGCTGTGCAATAATCTTTAGGTACAATGAACTTCATTCAAATGTGTGTTTCTCAGTGCTGCCTTGACCAAGCCTGATTAATTCTCAGTTCAAGATAGAGAGGCTATGCATAGGAAAAACAAATGTAAGAGTGAGAATGAGCATACCTTCTTACTGCAAGACCGCCTAATCTCCTCTACCTCTTCATCCTTACTCTCAATCTCTTTAGAGTGGGTCTGCCGCTGCCTCTCCATCTCCATCTCAAGCCGCAGCTTAGCCTGAGTACATGATGAGGACACACACATATAGCACATAAAATGAAAGCACAAACACAGGATTGAAAAAAATTATAAAAGAAGAAGAATCATTGGTTTTCTTCCAAAATGAGATATCCACCAGCTGTCAAAGAAGAGAAACAGACTCTTATGAAATGATTTCTTAAACAAAATGTATGTAACATGATGGTGTGTTTGACAGTTATTATAGTAGATGTGAGTTTCTTGTTGAGTTATAAGACTTAAGAGAGTAGTTTAGGGTTTGAAACACTAAATAGCATGATATAAGCAGCTTTTAGCAGTAAAACTCAAACATTTCTCCATACTGGTATAAAATACCACATCTGCATCACTCTGTACCTGCTCCAGCATCTGGATGGTTCCAGCCTGTTCATCCAGCTCCTCCTCCTGGTCTTTCACCTTGGCCTCCAGGTCACGAAGCTGCTTCTTGACCTTGGCCAATGAGGCTTCATCCTTAGACTCCTGGGAGGAGAGATCCTGTAGCTCTGCCTCCAGCTGCTGCACCTTCATATTTGCGGTGCACAATTCGGTGTCCTTGTCCTGCAGGCGGAAGAGACACACAGTAAAGCGCACATCTGGACCAGCCCAGTTATGTCAAACAGAGAACAGAGAGACCAGACATGTAGTCCCTTAGAGAGGACATCAGAGTACATCTGATGTAGTGCAAAGTAGCTTACCTGCAGCTGCTGGCGGAGGTTAAACATCTCACCAGTCATTAGGTCTTTCTCTCGAGCCAGCTTCTCCCTCTGGCTCCTTTCTCTTTGTACCTCAGCCTGGGCCTGGTTCTGCTCCAGGTCAAATCTGGAAAACAAACACAGAAATACAAACACATGGATATACAACTCAGAAAAATGTTGATTGTAGGGTTGAACAGGAGAGTATCTTAAATTGTGAAGAATCTGTAATTACACAAAGTGCCAATATGTGACATACATGAAGTCACTGAGCTTACATAATAGGTAACCCTAACTCCTCCTACTTAGCAGATTTTGCGCTTATGAGCCTGTCCTCGACACAGAGCCCAACATCAATTCAGCGCTACCTCTAGTTTAGCCTCCACCGTTATCCACTTCCATTAGCCATCAATTTGCAATTGGTTTGTAATAATGTGCAAAATGTTTTCTTCAATTGTCTAGTGCAGAAACACTTATGGTTAGTGAACTTAACAGCTAAGTGTTTCACGCTGTCAGCTCGCTGTAATTCCCTGTTTTTCTCTCTGAAGCGCAGCTGAAAATAATTTCACCCACAGAGCATCTTCAATTAGCCACAGGGGAGAGATCACATTCTGCTACAGCGATAGCTTCTCAAGTGCTTAAAGTCTGAGTCATTTTCTCAGCTAATGCAATTCCAGAGATTACAGAACATCTCACACTATTCAAATTAAAAAAAATGTTAGTGTTCTGCCGGGCCGGTCAGAGTGTCTGCACCTGGCCTTCCAAGGAGAAAAGAGCAATGTGTCTTTCTGAAAGAAAGGACAGGAAGACAAATAGATGGATAGCCAGACAGATGGGCAGACATAGAAACTGACTTCCTCTGTTTCTTCTCCAGATCATGGTTGCGGCTCTGTAGGCCCTCCAGGTGAAGCTTGGTGTCCTCCAGCTCTGCAGTCAGTTTCTGGCACTTCTTCTTCAGCTGCTGCACAGAGCGCTGCACATCCTCATTATCTGTCTGCAAATCAGCCAGCTGCAGGGTGCACACACATACACACACAAACAGATGCAAACAAACTTATTTTATGAAATATTATTATTACATTTATATAACTAATAATGTGTGTGGTAACCAAGCATAAAAAATATACTTGATTTTGTTAATTAATAATTTAATATTATAAAAAGTTCCTTGCCCTTCTTTCAAGATGTCTTTTGCCCTGCTGCTCTGTCTCCAGCTTGTCATCAAACTCCTGCTGGAGTTTCTTTTTGCTGAAGTCCATTTCACGAATGGCTCGGTTGTATTTTATCCGCCACTCGCCTCCTGGAGGAAAGACATACAATTCAGAAAGTGTCTGTGTGACATTTGGGTGTCTCCTGCCTTTAATGCAGGCCTAGCATGGTATACAGACGAAAAGGCTCAAAAGCTCAGAAATGCTGGATGCTGTGGATTATGGAGCCCGCTGTACTGGCTGTGATGGTTATCACATTCAAGGGCCGAAATAATATAATCTTTCAGGAAATAAAACTTCTTTCATCATATGCCGACCTTATAAGGTCAAAAACTTCAACAGGAAACTACAAAGCAGCCTTCGTATTTAAACTCTAATCTTGGATAAACCTGAGGTAAGAATTCAGAGCACACCACAATAGTAGTTAGAGAAGGACATGTCTAAGTGGCACTTTCCACAGTTCTTAGCCGACCCTAATTCTGGAGCTGTCAGAGGCTATCAGAACTGTAACAGCGGCCAGGCAGACATTCAGGTTCAGGTTCATTTCCAAGCCTTATCATTTTAGAGGCTGTCCATTTCTCCTTCACATACCAACACCGGCTCCTCCATCAGTGCTGCTCATTAGCATATATATAGCATAATGACAACTTGCAGGGCCACCGGCTCTGATCCCAACGATTATTTTCTCATTCATCTAAGAATTCTGATATGCTCTGTAATGGCGTGCCTGCTGAGATGGGTTGGGGGGGGGGGGAATCGCAGAAAAGAAAAAAAAAAGTGTCATGGACAATGTGCTCTCAGCAGGACCTCTCTTTCCCAGCAGGTGGAGACCAATCGGCAGCAGGCATTAGTTGTATGCCCGGGAGCGAACATTTTAATCCCCTAGCGGTAAATCCCAAACTTGATGTGAGATGTGACCAAGTCTCACCGCAATGTCTCCTGCTGAAACAGTCGAACAAAGCACAAAGCAGTAACTCCCGCAGCTACAATTAGTATAAGGGAGATTTTTCCAACGGTGCACATAATGCTGGTATGAGCTGTTCAGTAAATTACGCTTCTGACCTGGGCTGACATGCCCATTAGGCAGGCCTAGGAAAGCTGCTGCCAATGTCACAAGTACAATTAATTAGGGAATTAAAAACAAATGTTTAAAAACACTAATGACCAAGATTGTGATTCCAAAGAGGGAGGAGAGTCACAATCTCAATCTTTTCTTCCTCAGATTTTGGGCATAGAATTAAATACATATGTGGATAGACAGTCTCTGGTGTCTGTGGTGTCACTTCTAAATGACAACTTGCAGTTTCTAGCACAACTAACCAGCATCATCATCATCGTCCATCTCCCCGTTGAGCTCTGATGTTTTCATAAGCCGAGCCTCCATCACCTCCATCTCCTGTGATTCAAACTGTTTCTTCATGGCATCAAACTTGGCCTAAAATGCACAGATTCACACACCAATCAAAAAAAAGTGTCAGTCACATTAAAATCTGAAATTTTGAAATACCGTCATGTTACAGTGTTAATATCAGTGTGTATATGTGCCTGTAGATCCTTCATATCCTTCTCCAAGCGGAGTCTCTCTGAAGTCTCAGTCTCCAGCATCTGGGATGCTGACTCACTAGTGCTTCTCTCATCAGCAAGTTCTGCCAACAAGTCTGCGATCTGGATACAAACACACACACACACACACACACAGGGTGTGATGCAAAATTACAATCGCCACCATTCTTGTGCAAGTAAGTGATGAAATCTTTAACTGAAATGAAAGCGTGTAACTCTACCACCAATCTCAAACACCATCCTCCCAGCATGCATTGGTGGAAGCGAGGGGACCTACCCTGCTCTCCAATCGATCCGTGTTCAGTCTCAGCTCATTTCGCTCTTTCTCCACCCTCTCGAGCTTCGATTTCTGCTGCTGTATCTCCTCCTGGACCACAGAATATAGCTATATAGGTTACATGTATTATTACAGGTAAAACTGTCAAATATTAAGCACCACAAGAAAGATCAAAAATCAATCCATGCTGCAGTGGCAAGGTAGCATATTTTAAAAGTGGATTAGGGGCTGTCTAACTGAGAGGAATCTATAAGGTGGGGTGTAACAGACAGAAAGGTCTCCTCACGTCTTTGCCTCGCATCTGCTCCTCAGTGAGCTGGACCTTAATGAGGGGCTGGACTGTGGTGAAGAGCTTCCACCATGGCCAGTCTTTCACGCCGCGGTTCTTGTGGATGTTTTTCTGGATGCAACGGATTGCTAGATCTTGAATCTAGACCCACAAAGAGGAACACATATGGGAATGGTTTGTTGTAGACAGATTGAGTGAGACAATGGCAGTGTAATATTAATGTGATTACTTGTAAGTTACATGTTGTAACTGTATCTGTAAATTGATTGTCTAATAAATAACAAATAATTGCTTCATAATAGGCAATATGTCCAGTACATGGTGTTAAATGCAGTGTATAGAAACAGATGGTTAAGAGTTTGAATGCAGAGAGTGTAATGCACAGGTACTACAGTGTCCAGAGGTCCATGAAACAATGACAGAAAATTTGGAAAATCTTAATTGGAATACATGCTTTATGGAACTCATTTATTGTTACCATATCATCCTCACCACCAATGAACAATATTTGAGAAAAATTTCATCCCTCAGTCTTGTGTAATATTGTCTCTGTATGGGCTAGCAAGTATCCCAGGACTTGCCAGCTTCCTCTGGAGAGTTTCTGCAGTTTGTGTTCCAACGCTGGAAGCTAATTTTTGATTAATTAAATCAAACATGTTGGCAGCTAATTCCAAGTATTACACATTTTCCATGCTGCTTATGCATTAGGCTCTCTAGCAGCAGCAGATTATGGGCAAACCCAATTAGAGCAACACAATTCTCAGCATCAGGTACATTTCGCCCTGAAGGTACTCTCTATGACCAATTGGAATTTGTCACACAGTGAAATCCTTAAAATGGAGCAAAATACAGCAAATTTCTGACAGGTCTCACTTGTCATTTTTAGTCTAAAATGAATAGAAAACAAACAAAAGATTTTACTACATGAATTTTGTTTTTCATATCACATTAAAAGGGTATGACAACTGTAAAACAGTGTGAAGTGAATTAGGATTGAGAGCCAAGATCAAGACAAATACATGTTTTCCATTCTCTTCCTAACAAGCCCACATACAAATCGATGTCTTTCAGTGCGTCTGTGTACATATATGTATACAGGCATGTTTGTATAGGTGTAAGACATCTGAGTGCTGTGATACATAACAAGCAGAACCATCTGATGTCACTTCGATCCCACTTCTGAAGAGAACGCTTTATGCTCAGTTTCTGGGTAATTTCTTCAACTTGAAATAATGTGCTGCTAAGGAGAAATATTACATATATGGCCCTAATCAGGGACCTATTGCTGTCTGGCTAATATCATGATCATGATACTAACAACTGACAAACTCATTTTCAAGATCTATAATCTTAGCTGTTACTTAGCATTTACAAAGAAATGTACATCATACCAATGCAGAGCCTATCCAGTCCTTTACAGTAGGAGGTATTTGTTATATATGTTTATTCGATATGGAACTACAGGATTCCATGGTTCAAATGAATAAGATACCCTGTAGAATCATGTGTGTGATAAAGGTATATCTTAGCATTCAGTGAGCATTGTTGCAATGAGGGAAAAAGGTTCAAATGAATACGTATAGTATTATTAGGCTAAATCTAGCCTACACTTGCTACTTTACACTCATTTCAATGCAAATATCTTAGAAAAACACATTTGTAGGTTACCTGAAGGACAAAACTCCCAATGCAGTAAGTGACTGCTGAGGCAAAATAACAGACTTTTAAAATGTCAGGCTGTCCCCTTGAGGCGACAGTTGAAATGGGGAGGGGGGACAAGAAAAATTGTGGTTTTGTCATTTTATGTCACATGGGCCTGGCACAGCTTCACAAGGTTAAAATGCCAGAGAATATCAATCAAGGACTATTGTGACTTTCTGTCACGTTCATATACATCAACCAGCAAGTGTCTTTGCCAGAACTCATCTGCCTGTCCCAGAGGCAAATTATCATCTACTGTACCTGCTAAGACTGGACACTTCAAAGTGTCAGTGGAGAGGCAATGGAGTCCAATCAATTTTCACAAAGGGATAACAGGGTAACAAGTGCACAAGTGGTTATTATATGACGATTATTCTAAGATTGAAAAGCAACCCACTCTGTAAATCCTCTACATAGAGAGAAGGGGAGATGAAAATCACTCAATAATCCACCACAGCCCTGCTTCTGTTCCATTATTCTGGTGTCATCTAATTGAATCAGGAATAACATAAAAAGAATGAGATTCAACAGGAAAAAAAATTCCCTTCAGTTAATCATTGTAAGAAGAGACTGCACTGTATACATGTAACAGTTGAACAGTGATAAATCCGGAATACTGTAGTTGCTTGAGCAGTAGGTGAAAGGAAGAAAGGAGAAAGCAAGTGTGAGCAAACCAGATTTGACAATGCTCCTCATTTTTGTTTTCTCTACAGCACATCTTAATCTGACATGTGACTGCAGATACTGACCTTATACATATATATATATATATATATATATATATATATATGTATATATATACATATATGATATTAAATTTGTTTTGTCAGCTTTCTCAAAATAATGAGAAACTCTATCTCATTATTTTGAGATTCTATGTCCTTATTGTGAGATACTAAGTCATTATTTCGAGAAAGTTTCTCATTATAATGAGATACATACTGAGTTTCCATAAATAAGCTACTATATAATAATGATGAGAACATTAATACCACTCTAATATCTGTCCATAAAATATATAATAAGGCTACAGTAAGCAACTATGAGATAAGTCTGTGTTTGTGTGTGTGGGTATTACTAATGATGTGGAAATATAACATTTTGGGGAATCACCTTCCTTAAAAAATAAAATACAAGTCCTCATGATGTAAATCATTAAATTTTAGGGTGAAGACTTGGTTTAAGAATAGGGTAAGGATAAGGTTAGGTTAAGGCAAGTAGTGGTTATGGTTAGGTTAAGTTTCCAGGGAATAAATATGTCCCTGAAAGTGATGGAAACACGACTGTGACGTCTGTCTCTGTGTGTGTGTGTGTGTGTGTGTGTGTGTGTGTGTGTGTGTGTGTGTGTGTGTGTGTCTGCGCACGCTCTGCTGCATATACCTTTTAATTGCCCTGCTGGGGATGAATAAAAGTTTTGTTTTAATTGAGCTGAATTGAACTGATTTTTGAGAGAAACTGAGTATGACCATTAAAGTAATGTGCATAATCATGCACACAATTTAAATAGGCCTCTGCAGTAGCCCTGACTTGATGGAATCTGTGGTATCTCACATTCATAATTGTATGTTACACCTTACCTTGCCAACCTAAATTGAGTTTAAGAGCAATAAAATTACAAGATAAAATAAAAATAAATCTTATCTTTCTATTATAGATGCATTTGCAGGAGATAGGGGACATACGGGGGCAGAGGGAAAAAATTCCCTCTTTACTAATGGATTTTGTAATTGCACTGTTGCCTAGCAATTTTGAAGTGTGTCTCACTGTTGATTTTCTTCAAGTTCTGGCAGATTATGAAGCACCAGGCTCTTAGCCTGCTTCACTGTGTGTGTGAATAATGACCTTTGAACTTAATAAAGAAAATGCATTGGCCTCTCTTGGTCCTCAATTTTCAACCAACATCCATTACTCAAACTCTTCTGGTAAAAACAGTAATAACAGAAGAGAGCTGGAAGTCCAGTAATATAAAAGGTCATACTGATTTAATTTATTGCATAGATGACAATTCAATATATTTACTGGCATCATATACAAGTGAACAACATATCTACTCACTAACAGCATGTTATACTGGATGGAGAGCAGCAACGTTGATTCTGTTTCTGCTGGTTCAACACTAGCCAGCTGAAGCGGCACATTCACTTAAATAGTAATCACAGAGAGGGAGACAGACTGTAGGGCTCCATACATCACAAGAGGACGTATGAGGTCCAGAGAGATGGACCCGTCGCATGCTGGGAGAAAAATGGAAGATGGGTGGAGCAGTTGGGTGTGTGAGTCAGCAGCAAGTTGATAAGGCTGCATTTAAGGGGAGCAGTGTGATGAAATGCTACAGAAATGGACGTGTCACTATCAAATATCCCCCTTGGAGAGCTGATTAGATGGATTACAGTACAGGACAGAGAGGGTAAGGACGACAGATTTAGAGAACACATTTGTAATTAGTTGTAGATTTACAGCAGAGCTAGTTGATTCACACCAGGAGCAGAGCAAACATGTACTAATATTAGCTCTGAACAATGATCTCTCATCTCCTGGTGGACGCCTAGGCAACAAGACCTTTGGAGCTTACATTCATCACCTACTAAGCAGCAAACTGGACCTTGATATTAACTGTGTTTGTTTTTGCGGGAAAAAAGTGTAAATTTTTTGTAACTAGTGTCTTGCAATATATCAAACTGAATCCATTAGTTTAAAATACTGTATATCCTAACTCGATTTAGGAAAATATACATTCATCGGACACTTTATTAAGTACACCTGTTCAATTGCCTGTTAACACAAAAAGCCAACTGAACACTAATTAGCCAATAACATGGCAGCAACTCAATGCATTTATTCATGTAGACGTGATCAAGACAACTTGCTGAAGTTCAAACCGAGCATCAGAATGGAGAAGAAAGGGGATTTAAGTGACTTTGAACGTGACATGGTTGTTGGTGCCAGATGGGCTGGTCTGAGTATTTCAGAAACTTCTAATCTACTGGGATTTTCAAGCACAACCATCTGTAGAGAAAATATCCAGTGAGCGGCAGTTGGGTGGATGAAAATACCTTGCTGATGTCAGTGGTCAGAGGAGAATTTGCAGACTGGTTCTAGATGACAAAAAGGCAACAGTAACTCAAATAACCACTCATTATAACCAAGGTATGCAGAATACCATCTCTAAATGCACAACACGTCAAACCTTGAAGCAGATGGGCTACAGCAGGAGAAGACCACACCGGGTGCCACTCCTGTCAGCTAACAACAGGAAACTGAGGCTACAATTCGCACAGACTCACCCTAATTGGACAACAGAAGATTGGAAAAACGTTGCCTGGTCTGATGAGTCAAAATTTCAGCTGCGACATACAGATGGTAGGTTCAGAATTTGGCGTAAACAACATGAAAGCATGGATCCATCCTGCCTTGTATCAGCGGTTCAGGCTGGTGGTGGTGGTGTAATGGTGTGGGGGATATTTTCCCCCTTAGTACAAATTGATCATCGTTTGAACGCGACAGCCTACCTTTCCATCATGTCCATCCCTCTATGACCACAGTGTACCCATCTTCTGATGGCTACTTCCAGCAGGATATTGCACCATGTCACAAAGCTCAAATCATCTCAAACTGTCTCACTGTACTCCAGTGGCCTCCACAGTCACCAGATCTCAATCCAACAGAGCAACTTTGGGATGTGGTGGAGATTCGCATCATGGATGTACAGCCAACAAATCTGCAGCAACTGTGTGATGCTATCATGTCAATATGGACCAAAGTCTCTGAGGAATATTTCTAACACCTTGTTGAAAGTATGTCACAAAGAATTAAAGTAAAAGGGGGTCCAACCTGGAACTAACAAGGTGTACCTAAAAAAGTGGCCAGTGAGTGCATATCCATAGTGTTTTGGGCTTCGACTTACTGTAATTTAAGACTAAGCCATCCGTCTCATTGTGAGTTGCCTACCTTTCTCTTCTTGAAGGCTTGCCGTGCCAGGTAGCCTCTACAGGCAGCTTGGAACAGGGTTAGATTACGCTTGGTCTGCTCATCCCTCTGTTCCTCCAGCTTAGCCAAGGTGCCAGCTCTGAAGAACAACTAGAGCAAAACACAAACACACACATGCAATCAAATTAACGAATTAGCAAAGGATACAATTATTGAGTGATCATGTAATGCTTATTTTAGATTAGAGGCCCTGTTTTAGTGTGACACACAAGAGCAAAATAAAAACAAAACGGAGTTAAAAAGTAAATAAGTGCACTGAAGCAGTAAATCAATAAGAAGCAGTGTAATCCATGGACAGCTGAGTCTTATCTAAGTGAGAAAGCGGAGATTTAGTTATTATCTTGGAAAATCAGCCTTGTCTGTTTCTAATCTGGGCCAAAGGTAAAACACAGGTAAACAGCCAACAGAAAACAGATCACGTCACAGCTTGTCTATACCTCAGAGGGATTAGGTACTCTGAACGCATTCCAGATATGATGGCAGCAACCTATTAGAATGGATGGATGATAGACTCCCATAGTCTCCACCCAAGGTCTCTCTACGCAGTGCCTTAATAATTATGAAATCCATATGTGATCTGGCAACAAAGCAGAAGCTTTTAAATGACTGAGCAGTTTAAATTGTTCAAATTGTATAGCAGGGCTGGAACAGAAGCTATTTTGTCATTCATCATCATCAGATGTACATTGTACCTTTTAAAATATGTATAGCTATAGCTGTTTTCAGACTTGTGGCTCCAATCTCCAGTGGCAGATTTTATCTTGTCAAGAGCTGTGATTTCACTGCTATAAGGTTATTTGGGGCTGGTGTAATTGGCATGCAAGTGAGGCATGTTGCTAGGAAGCCACTGGAATGCTTTGTGAATGGCCAACTGTGCTTGTCTACTTCTGAGCCCATTTCACACTCCAAAGTGTGGCACCATGTGAAGCTGCCTCCAAACCACTCTTGTGTCATGTGTTTTGAAAAGGGCCCTGTACAGCATACATATCTGGGAGCATAAGTTCCACTGTTTCGTACATTATTGTTTCCTTTGATTTCCTTCTTGGCTGATGGCCACTTTCTGGCTGATAGGATTAGACCTCAGTGTGCCAGGCAGTGTTTACTGTGATTACTTTACAACGGTCACGGTGAAAAACAAAGAGGGCCATCAGCAGAGAGAATTTGCTCTAATGACCTGAAAAGAAAGAGAATTACAGTCACAGAGTCTGGGAAAGGTAGAGACAAGCCTCTCGGGAAGCCACTGGCTAAAAGACTGGAAAAATGGGCAAAGCTTGGCAACTCTCCAAAAAAGGATGGCAAACAAACCTCAAAGAGGGACAGGTGTAATGAAACACACACTCCCCCAGTGTCTTAAAAAAAATGTACGATAAAAAGAACAGTGGACTGCAGCCCTGTGCTCCCAGCTTTAGGAGGAGTGAAACTGACAGAGATTCACAGCAAAGCTTTATTGAATAATTTTAAAACTGTTTATTTGTTTGAGGTGTGGTGGCATTACTCACCCTACTCAGACCCATGTGGTAGCTGCTCTTCTCCAAATCCAAGGACTCCAGTAGCTCCTCCACAGCCTGAGTAAAAGCCCACATGTACACAAACATTCACACACTTAGTCTTTCAACTGCTGGATCCAGTGGGAACTTCTACTGACACCGCAACCTTTCAGTAGTCCACAGTTCCCCTAAGTTCCCATGCTGAACTAATGGTACAGTGCAGTTTCCTCTCTTTTCTCACATCCATTCCCGACTGGATTTTGTTTGGAAAGTAAGGCAGTAAGCATGGGAAAAGCTTGGCTCCTCTGAACCTACCAACCCCAATCCCAAACCACCTGTTCCTGGCTTATTCCTCATGACCCCAGTGGTCTTATTGAGCTCTGACCACATATAGGCTACACAGAGGTACACCATCAGCAAGCCTGGAGCCTCTCCCTGCCTATATACCAGCCTGTGTAGCTGTATTGTTGTCTCAACCTCTTCTCTCTCTTTCACTCTCCAGCCTGAAAGACCACATCTAGATTACACCAGGAGAGGTTTGCCATGAGCACTGAGGGGCTTTTGTTTGCCAGTGTTTCCACAGAAACTCAGCCCCAATACAAAAACACAGGGGGAAAGAGTTTTACTATCCCTTAACCCCATTATTTCTCTCTCTCTCTCTCTTTCTCTCTCTCACTCCTCTAGTAACAAATTTTTGTAATCTTTTTCTCTGAGACCATTGACCACTGCACAGCATGCCATCAGTGATATTTAACTTCCAAGAATAAAATCACGCAGAGCTTCCTCTAAAGTTTTTTTTTTTTTTTTTACAATCAGTATTCATAAATGTAAATCAAAAGCACTAAAGAGGTGAAGCACCAGCACTGTCAAAACAACACTAGCGCTCCAATGCTCAGATTACAAAATATGATCAAATTATATTTACTTTAATGGTATTTTGTTTTGAATTCAGTGAAGCACTTTCTAAACCACAATAGGGATCTGCCTCTTTACCGGGCATGATACTGATAAGGTTAAGTTGATTAGATCATTACAATGGCTCTGATAAATGAGGGTTTATTTCTTTGTCAGTTGGCTGCTGACAATTCAGGGGCAGATGTAATGAAGCTGCCTCTTCACAACATTAATCTTCACTGCGCTTGGCCACTGGCGGAGCTCTACATTTTCCTCTCTTGTTGATTGACTTACTCTCTTCTCGTCCTTCACAATGTAATTCCTCCCATGCTTCTTGGTGAGGTGCGGTGCCAGCACATCAAAGCGTCGTCGAAACTCAGAGAACACCATGTGATCGGGGTAACCTGTGAAGGTCAGTATAGAATAACAATATTATATTATGGGTAGGGTTGGCATCTCAGATGTGACAAGCATTGGTTTCTATTTATTTATAAAGCCCTCAATGGCTTGTCATCATATATCTTTTCCGTATTAAATTGATCCTATAGTCATTACTTGACTCATTCAAATTATGCTCAAGGTCCTGAGTGCAAACACGAAATTTGGAAAACTGCCTTTAATTTTGTGCAGAGTGCACTTGGGCCATTTTACAAAACACATTAAAACTCTGAATCTATAGGTTTATTTAAAACCATGATTACAAACAAATGAATGTAACTGTTTTAACTGCCTTCTGTTGTCTGTTTGCAGTGGTGGGTAGCAACTAAGTATATTTACACATGTACTGTACTTAAGTACAAATTAGATGTATTTGTACTTTACTTGAGAATTTTTCTTTTCATGCCACTTTCTACTTCTACTCCACTACATCTCTGAGGGAAATATTGTACTTTTACTTCACTACATTTATCTGACAGCTTCAGTTACTAGTTACTTTACAACATAAGACTTTTACACACAAAACATACAAAGAGTTTTAAAAAATTGTTGATAGAAATTTATCTGGGAACTATTTTGATCGTTTAAGTCATTTTACATGTAAACATTTCATGGTTCCAGCTTCACAAATGTGAAGATTTGCTGCTTTTCCTTATGATTATGTAAAATAATCATTTTGAGGTTTAGACTGACAAAACAAGCATTGTGAAGGTGTCATTTGGCGTGATCTTTATGATCAATTAATGGAGAAAATAATTAGCAGATTAATACATAATGAAAAAAAATCATTAATTGCAGTCTGATACAAAATAGTTCAGCCTCGACAACTATCTCCTGATTTTACATTAATAATGCATGAGTAATAATATTCTAATGATATAATAAATAATAGTATAACTATTACAGGGGACATTTTCTTTCTGCAGTAGTAGTAGATTTTCCTGACATACTTTTACTTAAGTAAAGGATCTGAATACTGAATAATGGTTTTCTCATTCATTCTTTTTTGTGTGTATATGTTTTGTTTTAATTGTACTCTCGACATCATTGAAAATGAGGACATGCCATCAATTATTTAAGATTTAAATAAATAATAAAGAAACTAATGTTTGAGGATTGCAAGATATATTTTGGGAGGGGGAAAAAGTTATTCTGGTTAGATTTATTTTCCAATATATCTGGACAAGGCAGTCAGTATTTCTATGCCCGTCCTTAGTATGTGACTTAAGCAGGTACCTCACCTTGCCTGTGGATCCGTAGAGCATCGAGCAGCTTGGAGCCACGCAGCTGAGCACGAAGCAAGGCTACATCTAGCTGCATTAAGCCGGGATCTCCACTCTCCCCTTGAGCCTCACATTCCCCTCCTTTGAACAAGGATCCACTCAAAGCCTTGAGGGCATCTGCCTTGGGCAATATGCAGTGAACAAAGTGAATCTTGGACCTCCGCACCATGTCGAGGAGGGCATCCTGGAAAAGACAGAGCAGGGTTAGGGACCCTGTAGGAACAGGCCAACATTGCATGTCTTCCTCTGATGCTGATGATGATCTACATCAGTAGCTTTACTTATTTGCTTAAAACAACCAATGGCTATGCATCCGACTTGGTTCCAATCTTACATTTAGTCAAAACTTGTGCATTGTTAATAAAAGACAAAAAAATGTGTGTTTTATTAACAACACACAAGTAAAATCTACAATCTTAATTCTGTACTATGTCGCTGTCAAGCACTTAAGAACTCAGTAACTATGACAACCCTGAAAGACAGGTAATAAAAGTTGATCCTTGAGCCTTTCTTTAAGCGTGATTTCCATATAAATCTTATTGCTTTCAGTTTTTGCCATTTTTGTTGTTTAACCTTTTTCCTCTCATGAAGGTGTTGCCATTATAATTTTAAGTACCCATTTGGGGAGCAGCAGCACAGTATGCCTAGGAATTATGAAACTGGGTCCACACTTCACAGTTAACTTCCCATATCTTAACCACATTATTTTTGCCAGAACAATGCCATGTGCACATATTGCAGAAAGCAGCAGGGTTTTTTTAAAATGGCATTGGATGTAAAAAATGTTGTCTGTGAACATGATCTGGGGTTTTGCAGTATATCATGCAATAACAAGGTTCTTGTCATGCCATAGGGTTGGAAGCAACATGTTTGCAGAACTGTTCTCATAGCACACTAATACCAGGCCATTTTCAAATCTATCTCGGGAAGCAGCCCAAATGTTGGCCTTCAGAAGAAGATGTAGACTGGGACATTAATTCTCAGCGTCTTTGGAAGTACAGGCACTTGATGTTTAGAAGCTTGGAATTGACGGAGAACAAATACTGAATGACCACCCTTTCCTCTCACCACTTGAAGCTTTATCTGAATGCACAAGGACTTCTTCTTGATAGCAGCCACCCCTGTGGTGAAGGTTTTCCTCATGCTAGTGGCCCGTCGCAAGGACAGCTGGGAAACACCTTCAAGGCCTGCAATGGAACCGGACAGAACAGTGGCTCCACCCGCACGGCCCAGGAACAATGAGCTGATGACCTTCCTGCAAGAGACACACTACTTCAACCTAAAGTTTTGTGAAAGTCCACTAAAGTAATGTAATCACCTCCCCCCCAAAGACTACTCCTGCATGTGTGATGCATACTTCTGGGATTCCTGCAGGAGGTTTATAGCATTGGTGGAGGCAGGATTCTGCTTGGCATAGTTCAGCCACCCGCAGGCATCGTACTCCACCCAGTCAGTGCCGTGACTGTGGCCCAACAGGAAATGATTATCCTTCTCACTCTTCAAGAGGAAAGTGTGACCTGATGAAAATGTAGGAGGTAGTGTGAGATTCCCCGGTTCATCGCACATATGCAGAGAGATGACAAAAATGAACAGAGTCCCTCATGAGTTTGAGAACATGTTTATACAGTCTGCATGAAGGGTTTAAAGCAAGCTGATTCATCCTGTCTTGATTACTCTGGTATGTCCAGTCTGTCACAACCCTAAATACACTTCACTGATACGGTCATAATAAAAAACGATCTGTTCCCAGCCTAGTTGTTCGCAGACCCCATTAGACTATCCACGCAGTTTTAGTGTGAAATGTTTAAATCCATGGTAGAATACTGCCATAAATAATTCAACCATCTGACTCAAACATTATGTGGTAGCCAATCAAAGAACAAAGGGTGAGAAAAGCTCAAATCTAAGAATGAGAAGCTTTCAGATGTTGTTTTGGAAGGTTGAATGACACTTTGCCCTCTAGAATTGCTATAAGCTATAACATAACCAACGTACAGTTGTCAAGGTTGCCAACAATCTACACAGAGAGGACTTAAGGATTTATATTTGTCATCTACAGTATGATGCTGGTGAATCTGTTGGTCTACAACTGTATATTGCTGTGAAGAGCAATACAGTATACGATCACACAAAAGGGGATTACTGTTGTATTGTTAAAAAATATGGTGAAATGTCTTCATCTAAAATGAAATCTATAGCAAGAGTTTGCAAATACTGCGAAAGAGAGAGTTAAGAATGATTCTGCTCACTCAAATGATCACAGATTGCACATGATATAACAGAGATGTTTTTTTTACCCCGCTTTATTGGTTTGGAAGTATTATTACTAGTAATATAATGTCAATTATATTTGGATTAAATATCCATGTTATCTTTTTAATTTAAAAGATTCACTTGAATCCTACAAATACCTCCTAGAATGCTTGCCAATGCTTTGTATTAGCTTCAAGTCTGAGTTTGTGAGCCTGAGCGTGTGTGTGTTTGTCCTCTACTTGCCTTTACTCTCACCCTCAGCAGGTCCGTAGTAGCTAAAGAGACGTCCCAACAGGGTTTCCTCTGATCCCCCAGGCTGAACCGCCTCCTCCTCCATCAGCCACAACAGGCCCCGTGCCTCATCTGTTCGTACTGTCCGTACCTGTCAAATAAACACATTAAAACACATATTGACACATAAAGATCATAGGTTCTTAGTGCAATCCTAGTGTGGACACAAAATGTTGTGTTTCACCTTTAGTCTTTTACAAACAATAGCACAGGAGTAAAAATGGCTGTCTCATTAGCCCAATACAGCTCAATCACTGTACCTTTATCTTATTTTCCATTTTACCTATTTGACCCGCTTTACAGGTCTGCCTCAAAAAAAATCCACCACACATGAGTAACAAACTACCTTGCCATAAAGGCTTGTTTTAGCTATGTAATAGGAACACATTGATGAATTAAAGGATATTTCAGCCATAATTGTTTATACACCTGCTGCGTCCAGAAAAAAACAAGATTTTTCTGTTCATGAAAGATTCAGAAAAGTATCCTTCAACTGCTGATTGCTGGCCTCTATAATCAGTGTTTCCTTAAATATTCTGTTCTACAACATGTCAGTTCACTTACAAGGACCACACAATCTACAGGTACATTGCTGAATACACATTTGCGTTGTGGGGAAGCTACGACAGGGAAATCTGCCGTAGCACCCGGGCACAACGGACCCTATAACCCTATGGAGAGGAAGAAGGAGATCAGGAGGCAGGACAGAGAAAGGGGTGAGGGAGGGGAGGGATGCAGAATGCGAGAGCGAAGAAGAGGAGCTGGGACGTGTGGGTATTTCTGGAAATGCTGGCCATGACGTGGTTGATGTGTGGTCTCGCTCCTGAAACTCTACTAATTAGCTCCACTAAAAGTAGCATGTGTGTGTTTTCCCAGTATGAGGCGGTTGGGGTGGGCCCAATAGTAATGCTAGCATCAGAAATTAAAGTTTAATAAAAGCATTTGTGGTCTCTGCACCCTCCAGCAGTTGCTGCGATAATGGCATCATCAATTTAGCTTTTCCGTCAAAATGGAAACAAATAGGAGTTCATGAATACCAAGAGTGGCGGGGGGAGATGGGATTACAATGTAATACAATTAGTATTACAATTAGTGTGAACACAAGAAAATAAAACCCACTCCAGTATTGATGATCATGGAATAAGTGCACAGAAAAAAATGTTGGTCGTGCCCTTGTATGATACCAAACAGGTAAATGCTTCACTGGGCAGTGCAGCTTTACTTTTATATACTATAATAATTAAATCGCTTTGTTGTTTTTTTTGCTGTCTTTCACCAGAGTCCTACATTTGAGTGATGCACTTTTTGTCCAGAGACATTTAGAATAAGACACTATTGTTTTATGGATGACAATGAGCTCCAGGGAGAACGACCTCCACACCGAGGCAGCCGGCATGGTTAGCATGGCGAACGTCGGACTCGAAATCCATTCTGGGAGCTTGGGAACCAAACTCACAAAACCAAAAATTTATCAGCTATCAGAAAGTTGCACAGGAGACATCCTTATCAGCAGTGCACACTAGACTGACTTCAAGTACAACACAGCATCAGTTTGGAGGAGACATATGACAAATACCAGGCTTGCAATGAATTGAGCATTAAGGCTGTTTGTGATAAAGGACATCTGCGCTACAACAGGAGGAAAAAAATATCTGCAAGTGAAGAAATCTCTGATCACAATGTCTTTTCATTCTAAGCAGCAGATCTTTAGAGTTGACTATAGAAACAACTTTGAATAATCTGTTTCTTTCCTCTTCCTCCGTTGCCTCTGATGACAATCCCATTAGAGCGGGTACCCTTTAAAAAGTAAAGCTCTCAAACCAAACACACTGGAATTATACCCAAGTGATCTATGACTCTCTAAACTCTCTACCATTTCTGTTTCCATGGTGCAGATCACAGGCTGCAAAGGCCAAACATCGATTTTCTTTCTTGAAGTCAATTCTCCAACCTTTCTTTTCCTGCTCCTATCCTCTCTTTCAAGACTCTGCCAAACAACACCTTTCAATATTTAACAACTTAACATAAAGAAAACTTCTAATGCTAAAATATGATATTCATTGTTGAATTTAAAAAAAGGGCGCCCAGAGATTAACATGTGAAAATAGATCATGAAAGGGATGCAAGTCCCTTAGGTGTTCTGAGAAGCATTCAGAGGCAAGTTATTATACCAACACTCAATTTATGCATGGAAATATCAAGAAACATGAGACAGAAATGAAGACAACAGACACAGTGAACTTACCAGCGCTTGGCTTGAAGCTTGGTCTACCACTGCAACAGACAGAGATGTGCTAGGCTCGGTCTCATCCAAAGCAAGCTCTATGTTCTCCTGAAGGAAGAAAGGCAGATTGACAGACTCTTTAATGACTTGCTAAATAAAAGACAAACTTTTTCACAGGAGAAGAAACTGAAGAAAAGAAATCTGCTTAGATTATTCTTTGGAATCATATTTTTAAAAAGCCACTGAGCGATTGACACATGCATGCTAGGCAGTTTGGAGCCTGTGTTGATATATCTCTATGGACACAGACAAATATGTTTCATCAAGAGGGGCCTGATATTCATGAAATGGTAATGTTCTTCCAAGTGGGATGCTATGTTGTGTTTCTCTTTTTAAGCACCTTTTTAAAGGAACTAAGGAAATACAGAACCACTTTTTACTGTAAAAACCTAGCTCCTGTTTTGTTTGTGTCTCCTCTCCATAAAAAGGTCCATGGACTTGAGGTGGTAGTATCAATTAACCCAGGAGTTTGCAAGACTGATAATTGCTGGCTACAACACAACAATTAATCAATTACTGGACCAACTGAAAATGAATCGCCAATAATTTTGATAATAAATAAACATTGGTTGATTCCAGCTTCTTTTATTTGAGGATTTATCAGTGATATATGATAGTAAACTGAATTTGGTCCCACACAGATGCCAGTCATCCAAGTAATTTAAAATCCTGGATCCCCTTTATAATGATGGGGTGGCTGTGCCCATGCGCCTGAAGGTGCAAGCCACCACAATAGTTCCAAAGGTTTTTATGGATATTAAAATGAAAAAACAATGGAATATTAGATGTAAAAAAAAAATAAAAGCCACAACAAATCTATTTTAATAACAAGAACGTTTGGCATTTACGAAGACTGTTTGTCCTATAGGTAAATGGAAAACCTAGAAGATTTCATTACTCCAGATAATAACATTTCTGGGATAAAGGGGAAGTAAATATACTAAATTACCTTCACCAGAGCAAAACAGGCATGCAGCAGCTCACAGTGACAAAGTGCAGGCTGCACTAGAAATGTGGGAAAATGTTGGCAGTGCTAATAGTGTGGCCGTGACAGATGCCAGTGTTCAAGTTGACTGTGTTTGTGAAGTAGCCTGAATATTTTTTGTTCTCTGCTGTGGAGAGTCGATGTGCGGAGGAAATACAAAAACTATCCACACAGTTACACCACTCAGCAGCATTTCATGAAAAAATATAAAGGATATGCCTGTTGTGTGTATCACAGTTTAACCTGCCCTTCACTGCTTTTGTTGATACTGCGTGCTGTTTTAAATGAGTTTGACCCAGTTTTCAATAACAGTTTCACAGCTCCTTATATATTTTCAAGATGCACTGACAAGAGAGAATTACATTACACAGTATTTATGCAATACTTCATTTCGCTCCAATTCCCTTTCTCCCAGGCAGGAGATGTGGGTGGGAATGTGGGTGGGAAATCCCAGGGTCCTTGTTCACAGTATTAAAAGTAGTATGATGAGGATTTCTGCTCAACTTTAGTGTGCTATCAGCCGAGTTTTAAATAAGACGGATATTTCTGACATTCAAGCTGGGACAGAAGTAATGGATGAATATATTTACGTTAGTAATGAAAGAATATTTCTAATATCTGTCCTTATATATCTTCAATTCTTAGGGATGACTGTGGAACTCAAAGGAGGAGAGAGTAGTTCCTTCATCAGGGAGCAACACCACCGCTGCGCAGCTGGGCGTACCTCCCAAAGGCAGTTGTGAGTGACTTTACTTTGATCTCGGCAGAAGAGGTGAAGACTGGCATCACTAATGAGAAGGTCTAACACATGAACTACTATGGCTTGTCACAGCTTGTGACAGGTGGGAGGGATAGTGTATCTGATGTGTGAACGCATACACTATTGGAGTTGATATATGTGAGAGATAGCAGCAGACAAAGGGAGAGAGACGAAGAGGCAGGAGGAAGAAGGAGACGATGAGAATGGCTGTATGTATGCGGGGTGCATAATACTTCACATGTCCTTACTTCTTTGTATCTCTCCAACTCCTGAACAAAGGTACGCTGATAGAAGAGAGTATGCAGACGTTCTTGAGTGTAATTGTGGCATAGGTCCTCAAAGGTTGCAGCGCACTCTCGCTTAGCCAGTCTTGGGTTTTGAAAGCCTGGCGTGTCCACAATGAGCAGAGAGCACAGGGAGTGCTGACTGGATTTCAAGGCCCTGAAGCACACAAACATTAGCACTGTGATACTCACTACATTTTATTGATTACATTCATTGCATATAACTCCTAGCTTCATCCTTAGCTCTCTTCACCACATCCCTAACTCTGACCATCACTAAACTTAACACTTATTATATCTTTAAAAAAAACAAAATTACAGTAATGTAAAATATTATTCAAGATGCCAAGATTTATTTAGAAAGACGTCAAATATATCAAGCGGAATTAAAGGCATTTATTAAATGATGCACGAGGCATCTGCACATTGCCATTATATAAGAGTCCAGCCAAAAGCATAACATATTCAATTTTATACAGCTTCAGTAAAGTAGATGACTGGATTCGAAATACTAACCGGTTTATTAAAGAAATGAGGATAGTGAAGACTTCAGAGTAAAGCCCAGATGCCATGGCCTCTAAACACTCCATGGCCGTAGCCTTGGTTCCTGGTGTGAGTAGCAGCCAGACACAGAACAAATCAGAAAGAGTCAGTTCACAACACCATCAACTAATAACATGAGAACCGGCTGAATTAGAAGAAGAAATGTTAGGAGCTGTAAAAGCTAGAATAAAATTATGGTCGCTACATTTGCTTCTAAAATGATGTACAATAGCATCACATTTGTGCATATTATGCCCAAAGGCATAAAACATTCAAACTGGGTCTGAAATTGTCTCTGTAAAGCAGTGTCATTTAGGACTCGGGTGTTTACGAATTGGTCAGATCAAACAGTGCCTGTGCCTAGCGGCAATGGCCACCTGTTAAACTATTCTAATTCATCCCACTTTCACACAAAATAGTGAGTTTATGGTGGCAGGGGGATATTTTTATGTGTGCGTACACATCTATGACTGTATGTTCTTGTATGTGAGGGTGAGGGAAGGTACAGGAAAGGTGAAACAGAGGTGAATTCTGTCCATCCCTGCTGTGACAGACTTAACTTTAGCCTCATGCCCTTCAAAGTGTGTTGCAGTTTTGATGAAAGTCAGAGGACCCACGCATGTGAAAAATCAATGTGAGGCAATTATGATTTCAAGGACAATGAATGAAGAGTAGATACAAAATTGCTTGTACTGACATAGTGTGTGTACTTATCTGTCAATAGCCATTGTAAAGCTGTGGTATTCATTACTAAGATAAGCTTTACTTTCTCCAGAGCATGCAATTTCCCTCAGGTGATGAGCGGAGGCGTATGTGTGTGCATGTGTGTTGAAACAAAGTGAGAGTGACAAAGAGAAAGAGAGGATGGGGAACTGTGAGGACTGAAGAGGAAAGGGAGTGTTGGTTAATGCAGTCTGTGGAGTACCTGCATCTGCTGTGCCATTTTCGTCAGAAGCCTGGCGAATGGTGCTGGCTCTGGGCAGGGTGCCCTTGGCCTGGTGCTTGAAGATGGAGGAGGAGAGCTCCTCCAGGGTGCAGCCCAGCAGGTAGGCTGCCTTCTGGGCCCACTCGTGACGTGCAAATTGTTTCCTGCCAGCTGAGACACGTGCATGAAAACCTCCATTAGCCTTTCTGCCAACTACCCCAGGCACATGGATAGCCAAGTAGCTTTGTGACAATCCTGTCACTGACAGAGCAGGATTATGTAGCTGGTCAAGCAGACACTGACACAGCTGGTGAGGACATGCACTAAAAGCATGCTCAAAATGTTGGTGGCTTGAATACATTTAACTACAGACATTTCCTCTAACTTTAACAACTATTGTTTCATCTTCAAAAAAGTCTGTGAAGTTGAAGTGATAATTGCCCCTTTCATCATCCTGAGAATGAAGGAAAAACTTATCATTAGGGGACACAATTAATTTATTTACATAAAAACCTCTGCTGGGACACACTAGTTTCTCTTTAATCTAGTGAATGAGTGATGGAAACATGCAGATAGGAGTGCAAACTTCAGTTTTAATCCACCATGAAGTGGTATCTTCTAAGACTTGAGAGAGGAACTGGGGGATTTCACACAGAGAGAAGTGGGCTCTATCTGTTTCATCAGTGCTGAAGAAGCCCTGCACACTTTTCATGATGATAAGCAGGACTGTTGCAAAGACAAGTAAAGGCGTTTCAATATTTGCTTTGATAGATATGTGACACAATAATTATTTAAATTCCAATAAAATATCAAAAAGAGGAAATTGGGTTTTCCCTTACTGAATCAAACAATAAGAGGTTGATGACTATTAAAGATAAAACAACTACATATGTACAATATTATATCTAGACTCACCTTGTCATAGGCCTTTTTTCTAACTATGCTTATTAGATATAAGTGTTGACAGTACTGTATACAGAGAAAAGCATTTCAGGTGGTCCCTTTAATTCGTTTTGGTGGATTAGAGATCAGTGCTGCCCTCTTGTGTTACATCATGAATCTGCACTGCCAATGGACACATTATTTTACATGATTTTATATTGTGTGTGATAGTCAAAGTACAGTTCTAGCAGCTAAATTTTTAATTATAGTATGATTAGATCATTTTCATGCATAAAAATAATCAATATCCCCTAAGACAGGGAGATAAAATCAAATTGCCATCAATGTGTCAACTTTTGGTCATAACTTTCATCCCACCAAGCATTGTTTCGTCTGTGTTTAACGCAAGGACAGCTGTCCTATGTCCATAAGTCACCCAGTAATTTACAAATCAGATTAAAAGCTGTTTAGTGTCTGTATTCCCAATGGCAGATTCTACGTGGGACGATATTCATTGGTGACAATGTTAAAATTGTTCCTGGATGGTGTTATACTGCCATCAAAAAGATTGGCAGCCAGCTGGAGGCGATCACTGAAAATAATCTGGCAAGCCATTCTGCATAACTGGCAATTACAGTGCAGACAGGGAGTGAAGAGTGAACAAACACAGTAAAAACACACCATACAGAGACAATGCTATTATACATTCCTTGTGATTTGTATGTAGAATATTATTCTGATATACTGTAATCAGACATCATGTTAATAGATTTGCAAAACAATTACATTTGCATTGCATGATATGGTATCCTTAGGTTAGGTTGACATTGCTAAAAGTGTACATTTAAGAAGTGCTAAAGAGAGATCAAATGATAAATAGAGAAAGAATTAAAAACATTATAAAATGTAAATAAATAAAGATTTTTAAACCTCTGCTTTGGAAAGGTCTAATGTGGATAATTCCATCCTTGAAAAAGCCTTCTGCTACTGTTTTTAAGCAAGGACCTTTCATACAGAAAAAATAACTAATAGTAACCTCACCAATATAAAATCTAAAAGATCTATCACTTTCTCATAAACATATCTTCAAAGACTTTGGGAAATCCGCATGTTTAAGATGTGTGCTTTTTGCTGATGCTTTCACATGACAAGATAAAATGTTTGTCGAGACTTTATGCCAAAATTAGCAAAGACAGTTCCCTATGATCATTCAGTATTCATTTATAAATAAAAAACATGATGTATCACTTCACCTACTATATATGAGCATTAAAAGCAGCTTAAACTATGAAGACCAGAGCTAGCAGGAAACATCTGTGGCAAGGACTCTCAAATGAGTTCAGTTCTGTTCTGTAATGACCTTTAAAATACCCTGGATACTGATACAGTCAGCCAATTTCTTCCTGCCTAAACTTTTATTTTGGAGCTTCAGATCACTGCAATAGAGCAGTCTAACAACCTGTGAGCTGTGCAACATCTTTTAAAGTGCAAATGCATAATTCATTTATCTGGATTACAGCTATCTTGCATCACACTGAAGATGTTACCTTCAGTGAGATATTGTGGGCTGGTCATTTTTAAGATTACATTAAATGTTATTTAAATGATTTTGGCTAACAAGTGTTATTTGGGCCACTTTAACTTTGTCACCATGTACTGTAGTTTGTGCACATCAAGGATGATCCTTTGTAGTATTTGTTACTGGTATGTCTTATAAAATTATTAACATTATCCATATGAATAACTGATAGCCAAGTATATAATGCAAAACCATTTGGTGAGCATCTTACCCTTAGTAGCCCCTGCAGCCCCAAGATGGTAGATGGCCCCGAGGACGAGCCAGAAGGCCCTCTGCTCATCACCACTGATCCCCAGAACCTTCATGGCTGCTTGCAGCTTGGAAAACTGCTGGGAGGCCCGCTGCTTATCCTCAGTCTGGCAGATTTCACATATATTCAAATAAAAGTCCTCTTGTAAGATGTATTAAAGTAATACTTGGAGGATGAGCAACTTGTCAAATTACAAGTTAAAACAGGATTAGGAAAACTGACTGTATCGGCAAGCATTTATTGTAGTTGTTGATAAATATCAGTGGTTACACACTACTACTAATTTCAGTATTACTTGTCTGTTATACCACCACATATTGTGCAAAGGACTGTTGCTTCAATGTCATGGCTGCTGACAGATGTTGATAAAAGCCAAAGATTACTTAATGTTCTTTTAAGTGATGACAACAGACTCTAAAAAATCAGCATATCTTGGTGTTCAGTTCATTCGTGTAATCCATCATAAAACGCTACTGTGTGACAGACAGAAGTTGAGCAGCATTATATGCAGTAAGGACTGGCCACTTCATTTTAAATCGCTGGCAGGTTTATTACATGGCTTGTGGTTTTAAAAAGACAATAAATGGAATAGTAATAATTTGGGTGTTAGCTTTGGTGCACTAGTGCGCATCAGTTACACAGGATTTTTTTTAGCTATGCACACTGTACTTCTAGACAGCCAGATATAGCTGTATTCATATATAAACATTCAGCTTTATAAAAGGGAAAAGTAATTATTTTTTTACTTCATGGCCAAACTTCCATGAAGTAATATTTACCTTAGTCTGAGGCAAGATACCGAATGCATTGTTTTCAGCAAAGTGGTTAAGGTGCAGCTCAGTTCTGATGAAGAAATGAGAAAAATGCAAAAGACATCAACATCTCTCATGTCTACTAAGGCCTGCATAATTAGAGTTAGGGAAGCTATAATATATCATTGCAACATATCAACATATTCAATGAAGTGCAGAACTATGGTGTATTGTGTATTTAAGTGGCATAATAGTATTAATTCAGACCTGAGAGAGCTGTCTACTCCAGCCATAAGATAGTAAAAGACATTAAACGTGGACTCTCCCTCTGGTCTTCTTGTCACCCTTATCTTCTCCAGAAGCATGGTCTGCAAGGCCACAGCAGAACAGGATATTAGCATGAAAATGACATTTATTATGGGGAGTGCAAGGAAGTGTAATAACAAAGCCTGCTGGAGTTCGGTGGAAACTAGTTTATGACATTGTCTAAGATCATAGAAGGTATGCATGAGTAGGAAATTCAAAGTTGAGTCCCACTGACTTGAATAAATATATGTGTTTATTTGTACCTGGACAGAGGCTGAGGTCACCAGGCCTGCCTGGTCAAAATCCAAGGAAACGATATGGGAGAAATGACTCGCATTCCCATTCATACAGGTAGAGGCATTCCCAAATGCCTCCAAAACTGTGTAGACCGCCTGCCATTTCTCCGCTACGGACAATAAAGAAAAATACAGTCATTTAGGGGGGTCTCAATAATACATCAACAACACGCACTAAAACTGAACTCCTTGGAGTTTGGATCATTTCCAACCTACTGGAAAATTTTTTGTTGGTGCTGCCAGCAATGGTAAGCAGGTATTGGATAATGTGTTGACAGTTGGTGGTTTTGCCACTACCACTCTTGCCCAGCAAGACAATGGACTGATCCTGGCGAGTGGTCAGGAGGTTCCTATAGGCAGCCTGGGCCATGCTGTAAATGTGAGGGGCAGTGTCGTCCCTTTTGCAGCCCTTAAACATTTGCATCACCTAGAAAGACAAAGAGACAGTGGAGGAAAGGAGGATAAAATCATAGAGAATAGATTATACATATTAATTACTGTCATTGTGAGTTTTTTTCATTCTAATTACACTCTCATGTTCTGCTATTCCATAAGAGATGTGTCATTATATGCACAGGCTGCAGCCTACCTTCTCGGAGTACATCGAAGGGGCGCTAATGGGGTTAATGACCACCATGTTCGGCCCAGAGTGGGTGTGCACCAGGTTACCGCCGTAGCGCTGCCGCAGGGAGTGCATCACGCTCGACTCGTTTAAATACTGCAGAGAGGCCAGGTCCTCCACACGGTCAAACATCGGAGGGTTTGCCTAGAGTTCAAATTCAGAAGCGGTCACAAACTCACCCAGTGTCATCCATAATCGATGTGGTTCAGAGTTGATTTGATGATTAAATACCTTCTCTACATCATCTTCATCCACATCCAATAAAGATCCATCACTCTCCAGGCGGATTCTCACCTTCCCCTCTGGCAGACTGCCTGCCTCCGTCTTCAGGAGGGTTGCTGCATCACCACAAAGTGTGGAGTTAATTTATCATGACATATGATCTTGACCTGAGAGCAAAAGCTTCATCTTATCTTACATGTCTGATAATGTGTGGCAGCTGTATCTCCTTTAATATTGTCTAAGCTTCATTAAAACTGAACAACATTCAATGGTGAAAACAAGCTTAGTCTAATTACTTACAGCCTGAGGTAAATGGTCTAGACAGGTGCCCTCTCTTAACATTAAAATATAAAAAGCATTTTCAAAAATCTTCAAAAGCCCACTTACATAGTTCAACAATCAAATGACACCCATAAATAGACATGCCAGCACTGAATAGTAATATAGAGAATTTACACATGGATACAGATGCTTAAATACTGAAGTTTTGACTAACCCAAGGAAAATCCATCCTTGTGGACAAGCCATACTTTTTCTGTGTTATACCAGGCTTTCTCTGCTGTTATCTGGTCCTCAGTCTTCACCTGTTCAAACAGGTCAACAATCAGGATGGAAAAAAAACATGTATAATCAATAACTGAACATTACAAAATAAAGGATTAAAATAAATATAACCACTGAATGATGAATAATTAAATCCAATAACTGCATAATGAACTTCGACAAGGATCATTCAAATAAGAAAACTCAAACACAGGGATTAACGTGCAGTTCACATTCACATAAGACATTTAAGGGGAATTCACATTGCGGAGGGCTTTGTTCAGTGTTAAAACCTGTACGAGTTTGTGTGAGTTGGTTTTACATTCAGCTCTCCACAGAAGAACTACAGTACCAATGACTCCCCTTAATAAGCACCTAAAGATGTCACAGACAGAAACGAGGGTGTTTCATCACAACTAAGTACATCACACAGACAAAAATACACAAGTTTAGGGGGATTGTGCCAAAAAAATTCCCCACCAAAATAATTTCATCACCCAGAAATAGCCAAATCAAGTCATGCATGGAAACACTTTGGCTACACTATACTCTGACAATCAACAAGCAACTCAGCTAACATAATGAACATCAGATAGCTGCAGTGGATATGTTTTTATCTTTTCTGCCTCTGGTTAAGATGTGAGGACAGTGATACTCAGCTAGAGCTATAGGGAAGATAAAACCTGGGTTTTCCAGGTGGTGGGATTGCCTCACAAACTACTGAGCCATTCTCCAACACCCCCTTCACTAGTTCATCATACACGAACACCACAAAACACACATCTCTCTGAAACGGGGGGGGGGGATGCAACCAGAATTACAATCAGTGGTAGCCATGGTCAGACCTTAGCTGCAGCTGAGTGTGCTGCCTGAAGGATGGCCACAGGGTCCTCAACAGGCTTGAACTGGAGAAGTGAAGGAGCAGAAGTCAACTGAGAAGTCAGTATTTTTAGCGATTGAATTCAACAGCTGAGCCTTACATTTGATTCGCAATTTCCAAGCAATGTATAAAATAAAAATATAGCATGTATCCGTAGGTCACAAATAAATATATGAATAAAAAATAAACAAGCACTGCAGCAGTTCAACAATGTAATTTTAAGTCAAACAACGGTAGCAGAATTTGTGAGTCATTTAAGTAATTCACGAAGAAATTACAATATTAATGCATTAATGAGCAGGGATTACAAGGTGCATTGAACAGTGTGTGGGTCTGTGGGGACTCGTGCCAAAATGAATGTTCTGTCATATTAACAGTCACAGTTAACAAGATCAGTTGTACACAGTAAGGTGTTAATGCAGGGCACCACGCAGCCAGTAGTAAAACAATGTAATAGTCAATGCTAATGAACTTAGCTATAGAGATAATATGGTGCTGCATAAACACACATTTACAATGTAATAGGTTATACATATATATTGTATCACTGCAAGCTAATTCAGTGATTCCTGGAGTTTTTTAAGTCACAGACACACATTTGATGTGCAGTTTTTTGAGTGCAATGTATTTGAGAAACTGTTAGCTATTGCATGTGACTACAGTATTACCTTCATGTGTGTGCAAAGAGCAATAAAGCTGCAACACCACCACACAGCTGCACATTGGTGTAAACGGACTGCAAAATTAAGATATTATTAATCTTGTTGAGAGCGCTAAAACCTGGTCAAGAATCCCTGACCCAACTTTGGTAACCACTGGTTTATGTCACATTACTGCATTATGGGTGCATGAACCCAGAATGAACTGCAAAGAGCAGCATGGGGACAAAGACAAATCGGCAGGCACCGACAAAGTAGGGCAGTGAACGGTCAGTAGAGGAGAACAAGCTTAGAGTCCAGCACTCTACGGGCGAGGGAGTGCAGTGAGCCTACTGTCGAGCAGGCTGTACCTGAGAGGATTTGTGGACTCCAGCACACTGGTCATGCAAACAGCAGAGAGGAGAGCGGCAAGTCAGGATCCAATGACCCACCGAGAAGCAAAAGTATAGACATGGGACACAATTTGAGACAAAGAGAGATCAGAGCAAGGAGAATGAACAAAAATAAGTTCCTGTCAGTGTTCTAGATGCTCTAGACTTTGAGACAAGGCCATATAATCAAGCACTGCCAAAATAATCCCATTAAAACTAATCACAATGGACAAAGTACATTGTCAAAGGTGCTCCTCTAGACACGATAACAAAGTAATTAATTCTACAGAATGAATGAGAGGAAGGCAATGAGAAAGACAGATACAAAGCTGTTAAATTCATTTTAAGAGGTATAAAAGTCAGCTCAAAGATGACTCTAAAGCTTGTTACCACAATTTAAGATAGCATTCATTCACAGAATGTTTTTCTCTCCAATTTATTACAAATATTCAGGGAATACAAGATATGTTTAACAGGTCCGGCTCATATTGCCACAGACACATTAATTTTCTCCTGAACTGACTCTGATGTAATCTCTATAACTTGTGAGTTATAGAAAATATCTCTTTGGTCTCAAAGTTTTAGATTACACACAAAGTGGCCAACAACACAGAAGACCTCTGTCACTGGACCCCTGAGACAACTCCGGATAGCCTGGCATGGACCTGAGTAATTATTGGACATATTTCCCTCTATCTGTGCAAGTTAGCAGTTGACTCTGGGTGGTCACAGGGTAAGCCCTGGTAAAGCATGGGGGATGCAAAACAAACAAACTGAGGGAGAGAGAAGTTACATTTTTCCCATTGACAGCGAAGATCTTTGTCACGCGCTTGTAATCGTCCTCAGTGGGAATCAGCTCTGGAACCTACAGTTGGACAACAAGACCAGCAATTGCAATTGGGTAGCCACAAAGTAAAATCAATGATCCAGAGGTAATTGCTATGATTGACCACTTCAGACAAACTTAAAACTGAGTGGGCATATAGAAGCATGCCATGTAAAAAGAAATGTCTATTGGATGTGAGAAACACCTTTGCAGCTGAACACACACCTGTTTATTCGATGCAGACTGGGGCAGTGTAACAGGGGACAGCTTGCCACTGGGGGCCACGGGAGGAGGAATGTCCTTTACCTTTACACGATATATGCAAACATTCACAAACACACAGTTTGACAGACCAACGTGCACACACAGGGATAGAAATAACATGGGAAGATGACAATGAGGTTGACGTTCATATTTCAGCTTGGTGTATTTTCTTTTAACTTTGGATTCAATTTAACACATCCAGAACTACAACCTACATCAAGGGGTATTTTTTCCTACTAATTTAATTTTCCAGTTAATTCAATCAGGAAATGAGTAAGAGCAAATGACTATTAAAGAGAATTGGGTCATTAAGCGCAGCAGCAAAAGAATAATGGTTATTTTAGCAACAATCTGTTGCAATTTTTTTTATGGTAATTAAACAATTGTCCCCTATGTCTCAGCTGAATTCTCATCTAACAATGCCCACATCCAAGGAGTCTAGAAGTAGCATCTGAAATTAAATCATCACATTTTAGGAAATTGCTCTGTAATTGTATGCTACATGGTGGCACTAGGATCAATAATTCAAATTTTGTCTCACATCTTCTGCTGTTTGCATGTAAGTTATACCTTTGAGTTGAAGTTGTGCTGCTAAAAAGATAAATTTATTACATATTATTTATTTTTGTTTTTAGATGATTGTAAGATTAAGTAGGGCCATTGCAATAATAGTTTTAATTCTACTTTTTCTCTGTAATGTAATATGCTCAGAGATAGAATTCAACAAACTTTCATACAAAGTCTAAAGGTAATAAACTTATTAGGATAGTTTAGTTGTATCTAAAGGTAATAGCTAAGCTCCTCTCCTGTGGAATCAGGTCCTAGTTCGGGAGGCAGACACCATCTCCACATTTAAGAATAGGCTTAACACTTTCCTCTCTGATAAAGCTTATAGTTAGGGGTGACACAGGTGATGCCTGAACCATCCCTTAGTTATGCTGCTATTGGCCTAGACTGCAGAGGGATTTCCCATGATGCACTGAGCTCTTCTGTCCTCCTCTTCCTCCCCATCTGTATGCATTCTTATCCCATTAATGCATAGTACTAACTCAACTTCTTCCCTCTTCCATAGTTGTGTGCTTTCTCACCCCTCTCCTCTCTCTTATTGCTTTCTGCAGGTGTTTCTGGCCCGGAGCTGTAAAGTCTGGATCTGTGGTTGTGGGCTTCCTGCTGGCCCCATGTTCCTGCTTGACACCCGCTGCTACTATTATTATTAGTCCTATGATTATTATCATTAATATTACTATCATTATTAATTTTTTGTCTCTACCACTTTTACCGTTGTTATATTTCTGTGTTTCTATGTAGATATTGTGTTGGAAGTTTTGAGCATATGTAACTCCAGTGAGAGCAGAAAAAGAAAAGACAACACAAACCTCACACAATAGTTAGTCACAAATACATTTCTACATTCAGCAGACATCTTGATCCTGCCCTTAATATTTGAGAACTAAATCTCTCCCTAGAGCAGGTTAAAACACAATATCTCTCAGCAAAAAAACAGGTGCATATCTCCAAAAATCAAATCCCTCACTCCATCGCCAAATATTAAGCTGATTTGTTGATAACATTTCCAGATAGCCTGCTGACAGACCAAATGTCAAAGACACTATATAAGCACCAATTTTAAAAGTTTAGCTGAAGCTGAATTTAATCATCCAAGCACCAGCTCCAAGCTGCACATGGCAATACATAGTCAATGGAATCTTGGTTTTCCAGTCAGCTATGTGAAGGTTTAATTGACAAGAACAGCTGATTACTTTACTCTATAAGGAAATTATTTGAATTCATATTGTAATTCCTTTTTCTTTAAAACGCATTCGAAAAACATCCTCAAAGCCCCTGCCTCAGTGGTCTGCAGCATCTACAGAGCACTACGTCAATGCCTGCAGAAAGTGACAGTAATGAGTCACAGCTCAGTGCGCATAGACAACTCCAACTGACCAAACGACCAGAGTGCAGGCCATGAGTACACCCTTATACCCACTAATGAAGTCTGATCATGAGCTGGTACAGGAACCCTGCTTCCCTTCACTTATTC